AAGATAATCTGCCCCTGAACCCCAAACCCCTATAGACCCGGAACCCTGAAGCCCACAAAGGCCCTCAGAATCTTATGCTTATGTCCCTTTTGGGGCCCCTAAAGGTCAAAACCCTAAGCCCCTAAACCCCTCCAAACCCTGAACCCTGAAGCCTAGAAAGACCCTGAGAATGAACCCTAAACCTAAACCCCTACAACCCCTGAACCCTGGACCGTAAACCCTAATTCAACCCTAAATCCTAATTAAACCCGAAGTCCTAAACCCTAAACCATAAACCCTAAACCCCTACAACCCCTGAACTCGGAACCCCATGAAAAGACCGACGGGATCATCTGCTGCCCGGCTTCCCCGCCGGGCACGGCTCGCAGGCGCTGCCTCCGGCAGCCGAGAAGTAGCCTTCCGGGCAGTCCTGCAGGGCTTCGGGTTGGATTAGGGTGTAAGGTTTAGGGTTTAGGATTTAGGGCTTTAAAGTTAAGGATTTTAAGGCTTTAGGGTTTAGGGCTTAGGGTTTTCAAGTTAATGATTTTAAGGGTTTAGGGTGTGGTTTTAAAGTTAAGGGTTTTAAGGTTTAGGGTAGGGTTCTGCAAAAGGGGCCCCTTGGATTCCGGGCAGTCCTGGCCATCAGATCGGCTCTACTGGGCCTTTAAACAGGTGTAGGATTGGTTCAGGGTTTAGGGCTTAAGGTTTAGGATTGGTTCAGGGCTTAGGGTTTAGGATTGGTTCAGGGCTTACGTTTTGGGTTTAGGGTTTTAGGGTCTAGGTTTTAGGGTTTTTGGTTTGGGGCGTTCCCATGTAGGGCTGTAGATGCTTTACTAGGGCCTTCTGCTGCTCTTACACCCTAAACCCTGAAGCTTGAAGCCTAAGTATACCTGGGCCTTTCAAGGCTCTTTCGAGGGCCCTTTCAAGTTCAACCTGGGCGGGATATGCAAGGAGCACGAAGGAATCTACCCCAGGCTCCTTTGGGGTGGGTAAAGCAAGGTCGCCCAGTATCTGTTTGACAAATCAGGGGGCCCCTTTCTTACTTTCCGCTCGTAGCACGGTGCTGCAGGGATACATATATATATATATATAGATATACATACATATATACATATATATAGATACATGTACATACAGATATATATGTATATATATAAATACACATATACTTGGGGTTTAGAGTTGAGGGTTTAGACATACTCGAAACCTCGGAGTTTCTAATCGCGGCCCCTCTCCTCGCAGACGGAAGCACCAGAGCTGTTGGAGAAACTTCCCTCTGGGCCTCGAGACATTCTGGGAGTTTCCGGAAATGGGAGGTACCTTATTTTGGGGTCCTTATAATAAGGATCCTACTATTTAGGGTATCATATTAGGGCTCCCTATTTTCCGAAACTCACATTTTGGCTGGTGTTACGGGTCATGTAGTAGCAGGATCGTTGAGAATTAGAACGTCAAGGAAGCTGAGGTTCTGGAGTCTGGGTGCCAAGAACGGTTGAGGGATGAGAGGTCGTTGAGGCAAGGCTTTGGGAATGAAGCTATACTTAGCATCGCAGAAGGGCCAGTGTATGCACTGCAGTGACTTTGCACAGAAGATTCTTCCACTGGCGTATGAAGTTTAGCAGCATTTCACATATGATGCGTGACCAGAAGCAACAGCCAATGAGAATTATTCCGGGAATGTCACAAAACGTCTCAGGCCCTAGACTACCTGGATGGAGAAAACGGGCATCAGTTGGCTCTCTCTCAGAATTGACTGAATCATAGCCAGAGTGTCGAAGATAGCGGAAATGGGATGCTTGCTATGTGAGCTTCCCACGACACGGGATTCCTACAACAGTACAGATTCTGGGATCCCCAGCAACGTATATAGTAAGAAACAGGGCTCCGCATTTGGTATTGGTAGTTTCGCAAAGAACCGAAGACCACAAAAAAGTGAAAAAGGACCCACTGAGAGACCGAGGACTGCCTCAACAACTGAAAGGGTTCGCCTGCCAAGCTTCTCACCATGCCAACTCAGACAAGCTCCAGGTGAGTGTATGTACAGCTTTGGGGCTACTTAGATAGTCCCCAAACCCAAAAACCTAGCATTCGGACCATACCACAAGAGGCTACGCACAGGTCCAAAATTCCACGCAAAGCCCAACGTCACAATTTCGGCAGCCGGAAGCAAGGCGGGCAAGGAGCAGTCTTGGCAGCCACAATTACTCCGATATTGGCCCGGTGTGCAAGACCTCAGTCGACCCAACTGTCCATGGACACCCTAAAACCCTGTCGACGCAACTTTCCATGGACACCCTATAACCCTTGACCCTAAACCCCGCGCAGCCCTAAACCCTATAAACCCTACACCGTGATAGGCCCTACATCTGGTTCCCAAGCCCTCGACTCGTACTCAAGTCCTGAGATTTCAAGCCCCAAATCCCAGACCCAAACCCCTAAATATCTCAGCTCAAATAGGCTGCAATATGGCTGAAATATGTTTTTGGATGAATACTCTGACAATTTATTTCATCATTTATCTTCTGAAAACTGATGGCAAAGTTTTCTGCGCCTACTCCACGACAGAGAAACCCAGAGCCCAAAAGCGTAAAACACAAAAGGATCCCCTAAGGGATCCCTTAAGGGATCCCTGAAAAGAGCCCTACTATTCTTTACGTGAAGGAGCCCGAAATAGCTGGAGGTCGCCTTTAACTTTTGGGGTGCCTAGTGTTTTGCAGGTGTACGAGTCTAAGGTGCTAGGGTTCACATTTTTAGGGTTGGTTGCTGCATTCGGCTGGAGGTTGTCAACAATTTGACAAAGTACGGGACCCCAATACGATAACATCCTAACCCTCTAGAGACAGGATGCAACTGCTTGATGACTGTGGAAAACAAGGACTCGGCTCGCAATCTTGACTCCGAGAACATGAACACCAAACGTCACATCCACGGGCTCCCCTGAATAGACTCCAAGCCTTCCTAAACCTTTAAACACTAAACCCTAAACCCTTAAACCCCAAACAACCTGGCTTAGAGCTCTTTGAATTCCCAGAAACTGGGTTGAGGTCTTGGGGCCCGTAGAAGGTATTTATGAGTAGGTACCTCCATAGGACCCACAGTGCCACCGAAAAGTTCTCTACTAACCCCAAACCTTGTTGTAGTTATTTAATATAGGGGCCTTAACGATTAGAAGAGGGTTTTGCGGCCAATTGTACTATAATTACAACAAGGAACCCCCAAAATAGTGTAGGTAATTATTGAAGCCCCTATATTATAGAACCCTACTATAGATCCCTTATAGAGCCCTTTAAGGAACCCCAACTCTCTTCTTCAGCAACCGGGCCCCAAAAAGTTAAAACTTTTTAAGATACAGCTAATATATAAGGCCAAAAAGTTTAAAGTTCCCCCGATCACTATCTAAGACGAAGGGCGTCAATGACCCGCAAGGCACGCAGAGACGGGATCCATTGGAGAGCTCTTGCACCGATTCCTCGGAGCCGTCTGGGGGTTAAGGGTTTGGGGTTTAGGGGTTTAAGGGTTTAGGGGTTTAGGGGTTTAGGGGCTTAGGGGTTTAGGGGTTTAGGGGTTTAGAGTTTGGGCTTTACCTGTAGCCGAAAAGACCTACCTTTTTAGGGTTCCTTATTATGGTTTCTATATATAGCTCCTCAAAAAGGTGGGTCTTCTTGGCCACAGGTAGGGTTTAGAGATGCTTAAGGTTTAGCTTTTCGGTCGGGGTTTAGGGTGTGGTGTTTCGGGTTTTGGGGTTTGGGTTTCTTGCAAGGGCTCTGCAAAGGCTCCTATAAGGGTGATATCAGGGCCCATGGTGGCTTTATAGGTTCGGTAAGGGCTGTGTACCTAGGTTCCCCACAAATCCGTTTGAAACAAAAGTCAGCATGAGGCCAAACATCTGATGAAGGGCGTTAGTGTGTTTGTGGGCAACCTTGACACCGCCCACAGAATTGGAACATGACCTTGCAAGGTAGAGTCTACACTGCATGTGCGGACGTAGCTTTATAGACAGGTCATAGTCAATACTAGCAGCAGCTGCTGAATAGGTCCCAGCTGTTTGCGCTGTCCGATTTCTCAGCAGAGGTTTGTGTGAATTGCAGAAGGGAGTGTTCTTACGTGCATCTTTACCAACATGGTTCCGGAAACTGGGTCCGGCGTCTTACGATTTTGCCCTGCCCTCCCACGCCTCCACCTAAATGCCTCCTAGCAGAAAGCAGGGGATAATGATGCCTGCAACATAGGCACCTGCTAAATCATTCAGGTACCGGCTGATCCACCCCATATCCGATGAACCCTGACAGCTGAAGCATGTGGGCACATAATCTACGTCAGGTCTGGGCAGGAATGCTGTACCATAGCGCTCGCAGGAATGTCGGTGAAGAGAGTTGGGCCTTCAGCACGCATTCAACACCGATTTATACAATCTTAGACCCTAGACTTGGCCCTAAACCCTGAACCTTTAGATTATCTTAAACCCTAAAATTGGTGCTACACCCCAAACCTTTAGATAGTACCACCCCCAGGTACTCCCAATGCGACTCTGCTTCGTTGTCGGAACACCGGCGACAGAAGCGACGCTGCTCGCCCTCGTCCTGGTCTTGAGGACCAAGCTTCGGCATCTATCCCTAAACCCTAGGCCCTGAACCGTAAACCCCTAAACCCTTAAACCCCTAAACCCCTAAACCCCTAAACCCCTAAACCCCCAAACCTTAATCCCTGAACCGTCTTCTGGTTTGAAGACCAGGCTCAGGGGTTAGGGAGTTGGGTCGGGATGTTTTGGCATATCGGATGAAGATTTGGGGCTTGGGGCCTGTAGTCACACTAGATGGTGGATGTGCAAGAAAGCTCGCATAAACTATGAGTGAGCTTCTCTCTCTATCTATATATATATATATACATATGTACCTACATATATATATATATATGTATATATATACACACTTGTTTGTTTGTTTATACTCACTTACATACTTATGTATGTATGTATGTATGCACGTATGTATGTATGTGTGCATGTATGTATATACCAGGTCCCCGGCATAGTCGGAGACCTCATCCACCGGACACTCTGCACAGAAGAAGCCGAAGGAAGCCGTGCGGAAGCCGAAAGAGCCACCATGTCGATGGTAGCCTCAGCTGGGGGTATAGTTTCAGAAAATGAAAGCTTTAGGGGGTATCTATTTTGGAGAATGTAGGTGTCCGTCAGGTATATTCTAGAAAAATGAAGGGTTTAGGGTTTAAGGGGTGCATAATGTTGGCGAATGAAGGTATCCGACAAACTGTGTAAGACTGTCGAAGCCCCTAAACCCTAAGCCTAAGCCAGTGGTATAACTGTTCAAGGGAACCCTAAACCCTACGCCCTTAAACCCTAAACCCTAAACCCATACACCCTAAACCTTAAACCGCCCTAAACCCTAAACCCCTAAGCCCTATCCCATAAACCCTAAACCGCCCTAAACCCTAAACCCCTAAGCCCAAAACCCATAAACCCCAAACCGCCCCAAACCCTTAACCCCAAAGCCCTCAAAAGAGGTCCCTGGGTTCCCCTCCTGCTCTGCCAAGGAGCACTGCCGCTCCAATGCGGGCTTCGGCACAGGGAAAACCTGACCAATTGCAGACTTTAGGGTATAGGACTTTCCAAAAATTGAAACTTAGGGCTACGGGAGGGAGGTTGAGGGTCTAGGGCTTTGAGTTCGGGTTTTGGTATGTAAGGCTTGTGGGGGTAAGGATTTACGCCTTTGAACAGCCAGCCATGAAACTGTAGCTTAACCCTGACCCCCTGAAGCCCAAACCCTAAACCCGAAAATCCTGAAGCCTAATTGAGCCGTAAACCCTAACCCCTAAACTCCCGAAGCCTAAACCCTGAACTCTAAACTCCCGAAGCCTAAACCCTAAACCCTAAACTCCCGAAGCCTGTACCCTGAACCCCTGAAGCCTAAAGGGCCTAAACCCTGAAGACCAGCCGTGGGGCGGGTCGTGATATGTTCGAGGCGGCTGTCCCATTGCCAGCTGCAGCACCTCGTTGTGAGGGAAACTGTACGGGCCTTAAGGCTTACAACATGGCTTTGGTGTGAAATATGGTGTAGGGTTAGGGTTTAGGTTTGTGTGCATTATGGAAGTTGTATTTCGAGGATCCTAAAGAGTTGTACTGAGATTCATTCCTACGCCCGTATTACGCGCCCCGGCCACTCAAAGGATCCAAACCATTGATGGACGAAATCCTGCACTTGTTTCGACATCCTGACGTGGGCTTTATGGTCTACTCCTTCTTCGCTTGGGGATAATGCAGGATAAACCTAAGCTCTAAGCCGCCAACCTGACCATAAACCCACCTTAAACCCTAAACCTAAACCCTAAGGGCCTAGGGTCTAGGACTTAAACCCTAAACCCCACCTTAACGCTAAACCCTTAACCATAACCATGAACACCCCCAGCTCAAACCCTTCGCTTATGCCACCAGCAAGAGGTAGGTTCCACGGCTGCCCAATGAAAATACGGGCACCCTGGCTCCTTTTTGATGTAGGGCCTTCATAATAAAAATAGGGTTGGGGCCCATTATACTATAAATGTAATAAGGAACCCCGAAAATAGTAAAGGTAATTATCAAGGCCCCTATAATATACTGGCCTGAAGCCAAAGACCTACGTCTGTCGGGGTTTAGCGTTTTGGGTTTTGGCTATTGGGGTTTGTCTTCGTAGTGATCCTTGTCACGAAGCCGGCCCATCGGGTTGCAGGTAGGCTTGAGAATTAAGCCCCAATGACCCTGGATCCGCGATTCGGAGATTAAGCTCCCCAGTAATTGGCGGCCTCAATATTTGTAAGGTTTCGGGGTATACTACACTAGAAATTTGAATGTAAGGAACCCTGAGGAATAAACTTGGTACTAATTCCGACCCGTATACTACCTCTCAAACAAGCATACCCTTGTTGCTTCGTTTCAGGTTCAAAAAGAACGGCATAAGAGCACTAGGAGAAACTCGAGGTCGTTTCGGAGTTAAGACGAGCTTCTGGCATTCGCCGAGCATCCGCGCCAGGTGCAAACGAAGCCCTGGCCGACAGCAGTGTGCAGAATCGTGAAGACACAGAGAAACCGGCTCAGAGCCACAAAACCCTAAACCCCAAACCCCTAAACCCATAAATCCTAAACCCTGGACCCTAAATCCTAAACCCCCTGCTGGTGGCTGCCGTCAATGTTGGGATTGCGGCTGGCATCACTGCTGTTGTTGCTGCTCCCGTGTAGATGCCCATAAGATCCAGGCCCACGCGCCTTCAACGCCTACAAATTCAGTGGGGTCTGAATGCGAGATTCTTGAGCAATCAACCCAACCCTAAACTTTAAACCTTAAACTAAAACATAATTTCCGCGACACCTTTTGAGAGACCCCTAACAGACCGATAGAACATCCTTAAAGGAATCAATCCTTTAAACCCTAACTGTATAAGCCCTAGAAAAGCCCTATATAAACCCTGAACTCCAGTGTGAAAAAGAACCCATTTGGGGATTTACCACCTGCAGCGTCGACTCTGCAACGATCTGCGGCTCGCCGGCAGCTGTGCCGGACACCTGCGTACGAGGCTCCCGGTGTCTAGATCATTGTTGGGATAGGATCAAAAATATACATTCTTATTCCTTATTGGGTTTAAGTACCAAAGGTGTCTGTAATGACTTTTGGGGTTTGTGGCTTAAGGTTGCGGTTTGGGATTAGTCGCAAGGGCCTTATCACACACTGACAGACAGAAAAAAAAGAAGACACACCAAAGGGTTTGGGGTTTCGGGTTTTGGAGCCCTTCAAACCCTGTAAAGCCCTTATTTACCTACAAAATTCCTACTCGGCGGGCTGGAGAATTGCCTATTTAGATCCTGAAGGTCTCCCATGCAAGTGTACTAGAATATACCAAAAGACTAGACATCAAGACCCCCCGGCCCAAACCCTTATAGTATGCCCTATAAGAGCCCGTATAGGAAGCCTTTTAAAGGAAGCCGCTCGAGGAACTCCAATCCCTAAACCCTGAGAACTTTCTGGAATTTCAAGTCAGACCCGACCCCCCTAACCCTTATAGTGTGCCTTATAAGAGTTCGTATAGGATTCCCTGAACAGGAACCCAGTCATCACTTCAACTGAGACCCGACCCCCGGCCTGTTGCAGAACCGTCGCACCTAGGTGCGTGTCTCACGGACCCGCGAGCGCAAACTCTGAACTGGTTTTAGGCCAAGGGGTTCAGGGAGTAGGGATTGAGTGTAGGGATTTCGGGTTTTAGGGTTTCGGGTTTTGAGGAGTGAGGATTCGGGCTTGGTGGTTAGGGTTTAGGCTTAAGGGATCAAGGTTTTTGTTTGAGGGACAGAAAGCTTGGCTTGCTTGCGTCATGCTCCGGCATCATCCCTCTAATGTGTAGGCGTTGGGCTTAGGATTAGCGAGGGTTGAGGATCAGAAATTGTAGATTGCGTCGACCCTGTAGCCAACTTCATGCTGTAAAAGCTCGGCAGCAGAGGTAGGGTGTGGAGTTCAATTGACATAGGACTAGGGTTTAGGCTTCGCGGTTAGGGGTTCAGGAACTGAGGCTTAGGGTTTGGGGTAGACTATTGGGTTCAGGATGATCAAATTACCAGCTGCAGGATCGAGGTTGAACGAAAACAATCTCGGATGTGAAATTGAGGCTTGCAGGACCGTGGGTTCGGGTCACCGCGGCTTGTCGTAGGAGCTATCGAGTTGAGACATTTCTAGTTTCAAGGGGCATACCAATCCTCCAACTGTTTCAGCTCTTTCATATGTAGAGGATGTAAGATGCAAGATGTTCAATGCTTCTCCTTCAGGACCTGCATCCTTACTCCGAACTCCAAATATCTACTACACAGTGCCTGGCCTAACCCCTAGGCTTCCAAATGCCGAATTCCTAAAGCCCGATACCTGACCCCGGCGTTCTGTCTAGCGGCCCACGCTGCTCTGTCGAGATGCATCCTTGGCTCCCGGTGCTGGTGAAAACCACCGTCGATGATATAAATCCTGCATTACCCATCATAAGGAACATACCATTATTCCCATAGTTTAGGGTCCTTCAGGTATTGCAGGATCTGTATCATCAACCGTAGTCAAGAGTCAAAGACTTGAAAATGTGCTACCCGAGATTTTCCACGTCCCCACGACCCCACGAAATGCCACATACAGATATGGTTAAGATTTGGATAGTACGTGGGACATATGCTGGCGTGCGTATGTATGATCACGGCCCCACTTGAGAGCTCCCAAGCCCTAAAACCCTAAACCCAATAAGCCCTGCAAGCCCTAAACCTACACCTACACCCTCTAAGCCCTAACTGGCCTAACTTTAAACCCCAACCCTACGCTAAATTTAAACCCTAACATTGAACCTCAAACCTTAAACCCCCAAAGACCCCAAACTCAAGCTATACCCCAAACCCTAAGCTAAACCCTGAACCCCCAAACTCCCAAAATCCCCAAACCCCAAAACCTCCAAACCCTGAATGGAGGATCGGCGGAGAAAGCGCGATCCACACAAGGAAAGAGGCAGCGCCCCACCTTAACGGATCTGTCCATTCTGTAAGGACCCTCACAGCCCCTTATAGAAACCCGTCATCACCTTCATGCAAAGCCCGTATCTGGTAAGTTAGGACCCTCTAAGAAACGTCTACGCCGGCGCCGCGGTCTGGGGATTGAAGTTTGGAGATAATTAGGGTTTAGCGCTTTGGGACTGGGGATGAGGGTTTGGGGTACCATAGGGCTTCGGCTTTAGCTTCCAAGTCAAGGGTCCGGTGTCTTCGGGCTTAGATCCTGAGTTCCAAATTCCACACCAACGGTTTAGGGGGTCTTTGGTGCATGCTCCGGCATCATCCCCAGCCGCCTGATCTGTGTGATGCCCAAGTGCCCTGCGTAGCTTCCTCCTTGGATCTCTTTGGGAACAAATATACGAGGACGACCCTTCCTCGTTGCATATGAGCATAAACCTTCATCTCGGAGTAGTTGTGCTGGAGACGCCAGCGCGTCTCAATATCTTGTTCGGACGCCTCCCGACCTTGTGGCACCAGGCGGAGTTGATAACGACTGCGGGCCCAGCCCAGCAACTCCTTGGGCTGGATCCGGTCAGCGAGTTCCACAGAAACCCAAAGGCTACCCCTAATCTAGACCCTACAGGGGCCCCGCAAGCAACCCTAAACACTGAACCCTAAACTCCTAATACCCTGAACCCTAAACCCTCGCAGGTTCTGGTTGGTAGGAAGAAACCGGTGGCTGTGTTCGGGTTGATGAAGGGAAACCCTGAAACCCTTTGTACAGAAACCCCCGAGACCCTCTCAAGAACCAACGCCCTGCTTTAGAAGCCTAAATAATTACCAGTATTGTTCCTTGAGAAACCTCAACAAATGAACTATCAAGGAACCCAAAACCCTATTCTAAATTTACAAGGCTGCTACATTGACTAACCCTGAGGTCACCTTTTCGTGTCGCCGAGCCACGAATTTGACGGGACCGACGATGGTCTGCCTTGCAGAGATACATACTGATTATAGTTTTATTAAAACTACAAACACTAATAGCAGGAAGAAGCATAACAATAATGATCACAACAAGAATAACACTAAGAAGAAGCAGAAGAATAAGTGTTGTTAATGGTCTTGAAAAAGTTTTGGGCCGGTTTGGGTTCTACTTGTCGTTTCTGCTTCTTGGAAGGCCATCATTATTTATTGGAGCAGGGTTCAGGGTTTAGGGTTTGGGGTTTAGGGTTCGTTGGAAGGGCTCTTGGAAGGGTTACCATAAGGAAGTTAGGGCCTAGGGTTGGCAATTAGGGTTTGAAGCATGGCAGCATGGGGGTTTAGTAAAGGGGTTTCCAGAAGGTCAGGTTCAGTCGGGGGTTAAAGGTTGAGGGTTTGCTAGTGGTTTCAGAAACAAGGGTTCTAGGATGTATGCAGCGGTGTCGGATAACTCATATACAACCTGTTTCTTATTTCTTGTTTCTTGTTTCTGTTACAATTACCATCCAAGTGTACAAACGAAAAGGCCTCATGTCTCACATGTCTCTGTCTTGTCATGTCTGCAATTGAATCGTACTTCCAGCTGCGGCTGTGATCCTCTACGATAGGGGCCTTAATAATTAGAATAAGGTTTTGGGGCCCATGATACGATAATTATAAGAAGGAACCACCCAAAATGGTATAGGTAGTTAGCAAGGCCCTTATATTACACCCGTCTAAAACCCAACGTTAGACTTTGGGGCGTCATGGTCAGATGCCAAGCCGTAAACAGGCTTCGGGTTATAGGTTTGATAAAGCGTGAGGGTTTAGGGTTTGGGGTCTCGGGGTAAGGGTCCAGGGTTTAGAGCGTAAGGCTTAGAGCTTTGGTATGCCTGCCTGACACACCAGCGGGCTTTAAACGAAGATCCGATAACCACCATAGATTACCATACAAGTCGACGTCATTCTGCGGGCCCAGTCACAGACCCTCCGAACGCTCCAGGGCATCAGATACTGCCTGTTCAAGAGTTCCGCACTTGAGAGGGTATGATGTGGGAGTTTCCGAAAATTAGGGGTACCTTATTTCGGGGTCCTTATAGTAAGGATCCTACTATTTAGGGTACTATATTAGGGCCTTATTAGGGTCCCCTGTTATCGGAAACCATCGGAAACCCGCATGTAATGCAGCGGTCATAGCAAAGCCAAAAGGGTCTCAACCAGCCCCGAGGTCAGGGTTCAGGGATGAAATTAGGGCCCCATAAAACTCCTTATAATGAAGGCCAATAAGGTAGGGATATCCCCGTAAAATGCTTATGCTTATGTGCTTTTGGGGGTCCCTAGAATTAAGGTTCAAAGATCCAGGGTTTTACGGGTTGAGGACTTAGGGATTAGGATTTAGGGTTCATGGTTTAAGTTCTTGGCCTAGGGCTTGGGGCTGAAAGCCCAGGGTTTAGGAATCATGACGGGCAACATCGTTTTGACCCGCAGGATGTCACGCAAGTCATCAGCCAGATGAAGTAGGGCACAACAAAAATCTACAGTCACGCATATTCCTAAGGAGCCTCAGACACCCCAACACTCTAAGCCCTATGCTTCACATGGTTGAGGGCGCGGCATGTAAGGTGCTTATTTCGTATCACGTGAAGATTTAGAAAACTTAGAACTTATCGCGTTTAGGATTTCCGGGCTGAGGTTGGAACCAGTAAACCGGAACAAAAGAGTGGGTAGGGCAAACACTAGATTGGAAGATGTTGCAGGAGGTCACGCAGTGGCCTCGGATCGAAACGAGCGCACAGTTTGCTGTGTACTGGTAGGGAGGTGCATTTGGTGCTGCCCCGAACCCTTCGAGGAATCCTGTTAGGAACCCTGACATAACTTCCAAACCCTGCATCCCTGGCCTGAACAGTGATGTTCTCTGCCACCTCCATCGCCGAAAGCAGCACTGACGCAGCTGCCCAGCTGGCTAAGACACCTCCCCGCCTGAGGCGAACTTGGGGCTGTGCCGACTGGATAAGTCTTGGGAAGTATCCCGCAACCCGAAGTCGCAGGGTTTAGGGTTTTTCTTGGTTAGGGGCTCAGGGTTACCTTAGCAGCACGATAACACTCCTTCGACAGCACGGGTTGTTTGGGGGGGGCCAAAAGCGGTTTACAGGACCCTCAACATCCCTCAACGAACTCCTTCAAGAATTCCTGATAGACCCTGGCGGAACCCTTCCGAAACCTTTGAGGAACCCTTACAGCGCCTTAGAAGCCCTTAAGAGCCCTAATTCGTAGAACCCTTTTAGGGAGGCCTTTCCAGAACCACCAAAAGAAACCCTGTAGAACCTTTAAAGCTTTAAAGAAGCCGTAAAGCCCAGGAAGGGGCCTCCCCGACTCCGTGGCAAGCCGCTCTGCCTGAAAGCTGGCTTAGTGTCTTTTCGGGGGTTTAGGGCTTGGGGTTTAGGGTCTAGGGTTTGGGGGGTTTACGGATTAGGGTTTGGGGGTTTCGGGTTTAGGGAGTTGGACTAAAGCTTGTGAAGCTGCAAATTGAACTGGGCGGGCCCCTGCGAGCATCTGAAACACAATCTCAAATTGGATGATGTAGGCTTTTAGGGTTTAGGGTTTAAGGGTTTAGTAGGGTTTAGGGTATTCTAGAGATGGACATACATGCAACAAGCAAAAAGGAACAGCTAAGCCCAAGCCCGCGACAGGGATCGCCTACCCCACGCCAAGGACCCAGACCCCCGGGAGGATCTAGAAAGTAGATCCCCCAATTTGGGGCCCTATACGACTAAGAGTACTTTATAGGAACCCCCATGAGGGGATCTACCCTAAACCCAAAACCCTGTAGATCCCCGAAAGGGACCCTTAAAGGAACCTCTAAAGGAACCCCCCCCATTAAGGGATCTACTTGTTGGATCCTCCCGGGGGGTCTGGGGATGAGGCCCAGGCCAGCTGTTGCAACTCTGCAAAGCGCTCCTGGTTGAGCCAGTCGCCCTCAGAGCTACCCCCAAGTCTCCGGTCTAGGGGTTCAAGTTTAGGCATGGGGCTTGGGGTTTAGGGCTTAGGGTTTGGGGTTTAGGGCTTCGGGTTTGGCACTCAGGTTTAGGCTTACACGCGGGTTTGCAGGCGTACATCAGATCTTGTAATACATCAGGTGCCTTCCTAGAGGGGGTGGTGTGCGCAGCAACTCACTTTGCGGGCGCGTGGGCACGTAGGCAAAGACATAACAAGAACTATGCTTTCCAAAGGCGCTCGAAGCCCAGACCCCTGAACCCTAAACACAAAACCCTGCACCCCAATATTCCAGATCCACAACTGACCTGATGCTTTCTAAGACACGGACACCCGAGAATCCGGCAAATTTCAATCCAGTCGAAGCCCTTACTCCTCATACTTCATTAGGGTGTAGGGTTTAGGGTTAGGGTTTAGGGTTTAGGGTTTCGCAAGCCTTATCGATCCTTGTCGTAACCGATAGAGGAAGCCCTGTACTTAGTAACCCTCTGGCAGCAAAGCCACGCTGGGATAGACGGTGGCCGCAGGCGCCGCTGACGGCGCGAGGCTCAAGAGGGAGGCCACATCCTCAAGTCCCGGATCCAAACTTGGGGTGAAGTTATTTTGAGGCCTTAATTATACTGTAGTTACAGTACTTAATAAGGACCCCCAAGATAGCATTAATTATTTAGGCCCCTATAATGGTTGGAGGATCCGGGTGCAACTTGCTAAGTGCACTAATGCTAGGGCTGCAAAGCACGAAATTATGGAGCTTACTGATGACACAGCTTCTCACCAACCTACCTCCTCCAACTGGCAGTCTTTCGAAATGCCCAGTTTTCATGAAAGACTTCCTCGAACAACCCACAAGTGAATTTTTGAAAATGTTGCGCTGGGAGACTCATAGACGCCTAAACCCGAACCCCTCAACATTCGTGTAACTAAACCTCTCAGCCCTAAATCCCTTGAAAACACCCTTCAAGAAGCCCAAGTACTAGGCCCTTAGGGGTCTTAATAAATTTCACTACAATGGCCTGGGGTCGACTTTGGTAGAACTCTAATTAAGGGCTGCGAATTGCCAACCTATAGCCACCAGATGAATTTCAACTCCCTGTCCAGAACAGCTCAAACGTAGATTGAATAGGGTTTTGCGCTTTGGGGGCTGCAGGAGATCAATGGGACCAAGACACGGAGGTGGAAAGTGTGGAGCCACCCGACCTCGGAATCGAGGACTCTATCGGGGCTCTAATGATCCAAGGGTTTGGGGTAAATAGGAGAAGTACACAGAAGCTAAACATGGATCATCGAATCATCCATATCTTGCTGCAGATAGCAAGCGGATGTGAGTCTGGAAGGGTTTTGGGCACTTGGGGTTCTGAAAGCTTCGACGCACATCCCCTCATCGACTCTGTACTCTCATACGGAGATGTACATCAAACCCTCAACCGCAAAGTTTGTTGGTGGTTGTGCGGTTTACGATTTAAGGGGTTTAGGGAGTTTAGGGTTCAGGATTCAAAGGGTTTAGGGTCTGGGCTCAGGGATATGGATAGTTCTGTACATTGGGTTCATGTTAAGATCCCAGAAATAGTACGGCACGCGTATAGCAAAGGACCCCGAAAGTACACTATTCAGAGAAGTACCCATGAAGGGCCTCAATAACTAGACTAGGATTTCGGCGTATACCTGGATCCTAAACGTTCCCACCCTTTTGAGGGTTTATGTTAGGAAATCATAACATCACGGAGCCCTGGAAAGTTAGGTTTCTTCGGGTTCAGGTAATGTCGTATAAGCCAAACCATCGGAGATTAAACCCCGAACCTGCCAAGGATTCAATGGCTGGTGCACAGATCAAGGCTGCGATCTTGGGCATTGCTTTGGATTTCATAGAAGGGCCTTAACACTTGGAATGTGTTTCGGGATATTGTGGCAACTATTCCGGCGTCCATATTAGTCTTTGAGTGCTGGATCTCAGCTGCTGGGTGTTGAATGAACGGGTGGTAGAGAAGTCTACGTGCAAACCGTGTTGCTTCCGAAAGGCCAGCAACCTACAAAGCTTCTTGAAGGGCCTTAATAACTCGCATTACCTTAAGGACTAAACTATGGGAATAATGGTATATCCCTTATAAAGGGTCATGCAGGATATATCTCATCAACAGTAGAATTGGTTCTCGGAGTACAACACCGTATACTTATCATACCGAACCGGAAAGACTGATCATGGTATCGTTCAGGCTTCTAGGCTTCTACGTTAAGCACACCTCGACAGGAATTGAACGACTAGCCTGCCCCTCGGAGTTTTATCACCATCACCATGACCAGCATCAGATCACTCAATCCGAAACCACTGCCATGGACCTAGACCCTGCTGGAAGGTTCGTGGGTGGCGCTTTGCTTGATGTACGTACATCGATACAGTACCCATCGACCTCCAAACCATGTTCACTCATAAACTCCAAGACCCAAGACATTAACATCAAAACCCCGTACCGTCGCATCGTTGCCAAGTGGCCACCCCGCATCTGCCTCGGCACGTGGCAGACGCCCTTTCAACCCTAAACCCTAAACTCTAAACCCTAAACTCTAAGCCCCAAAATGCCCCCAATCCCGGAAGCCTAAAGTCAGCAAACGTCTTCCCACTGCATCTTTTCACTGGCCGAGCGAGCAAACGAAACTGCAAACACGCAATATTGGGCGGGGTCTTCCGGGTCTAGAGTTTGGGGTCTAGGATGTTACGCTTCGGGGTCAAGGGCCCTAGTAAAACCCAAAAAGTTGGAAACCGGAATAAGGCCAAATATTGCTGGGATTCCCTATGCACTACTCTTCAGGATTCTACTATATAGTTTCGTGCTCCATGCTTTAGGGTTCTTGGTTGCAGTCAGGTAGCGGCTTCCGACGAAGCCATTGCCTCCGCAGCTTGACGAAATCAATGCACATTTAACCCTAGTAGAAATGTTAGACTGTCGCAGACGTCGTGGTAGGAAACCCTGACCCAAACTCTGACGTAAACCCTGAACCTCAAACCCTAAACCCCAAACCCTGAACCCCAAACCCTAAACCCAACGCCCTGAACCCTAAACCTTACATCGAGCTCTAACTCTGAAGCCTCACCAATTCTAAACTTCTGAGGCACAACAAATTCGAAGTCTGTTTTGGCTCAGGGGGGACACCTGAACTTGATCAAAGTTGAGGGCGTGGGACTTTTGCGTCTGAGGTTTAGCATCTACTGCTGCGGATTCAGAACCTCGAAAACCCAAATAGCTCCTAAAAACTAATGAATAGTGGTGTCGCCCTAGAGCCTCCTTTAAGCAGTGCTCTAGACCTATTCCAACAAATACAGCGACTACCCATAGTAGCAATACGAACAGCACGGAGAATTCTTGTACGGATGATGAACTTGATAAAAATAATGACAATGATAGATATTTCACCAACGGAAGGAAGAACACAAGTAAGAACAAAAACACCACAACCAAAAAGCCACCGAGGTGCCCAAGGGTTCTTGGAGGCCACAGCCCACAGGAAGCCGCCGTAGCCAGGCAAGGACAGCAGTCCCTCCTGAACCTGCAGTTCGGGGCGTTTCAGGATTTGGGGTTTATGGTTCAGGGCTAAGGGTTCAGGGCTTCGTGTTTAGGGTTGAGGCAGGTTTGTGGGCTTTTAGTCCTAAAATCTGGTTATCAAGCTGCACTAAGTGGTGTGGGTTTGAAATTGCAAAGCCTTCACCCCTGCGTAGCGCTGCAGAGGCTTTCAGGGCCTGCATACAGTGCCTCTACAAACTTCTACGATCAGTACTTGGAGGATCGTGGGACATAGTGAGGTGATCGGCAACTTGATTGGAGTTATAAGTAATCATAATGATAGTTAGTTCCCTTATTTATATAACCCTAATTACTAAGTCGCATGATCCTCTAAGTACCCATAAGCCCTACACGAAAACTCGAAGCCCTCGGCCCAACCCTTAGCTCAAAACCCCAAATCTGATCACCCAAACCCTTACGTAGGTGAAGGATGCTTAGGGTTTAGGGTTTAGAGTGTACAAGATTCCAGAGGTGTCGCGAAGGCATCGGAGCCCTGAATGTTCTTCCTGCGATGAATGTGCCCTGTGGGTTTAGGGCTTAGGGCCTAGGGTTTAGGGCCTTAGGTTTAGGGCCTAGGGTTTAGGGCCTTAGGTTTGGGGGCTAGGGTTTCGGGCCTTAGGTTTAGGGCAACGAGGCCTTGCATTCCCGCTCTGGGGGATCTACAAAGCCCCGAACCCCTAAACCCTGAACCCTGAACCCTAAGCTTGCATTCCCGCTCTAGGGGAGCTACAAAAGGAGCACTAGGGTTGATGATATCAACCCTGCATTACCTTAAGGACCCTTAACGACGGGGATGATGGTGTATTCCGTATTCTGGGCAATGCAGGAAGAATGTATCATCAACAGTAGTCAGGCTTTTGTATAGTATAATCTAACCCCCAAATGCCCTCTTCTAACTATGCCCCTAAATTATAGTACCCTGAAAGAAGCCCCGCTGTAGCCCCTTTTCAAAGGGAACCCCTATTCTAATTATGAAGGCCCTTTTGTTAGTTTGGCTTCCAGGAGAAAACCCTATAGACCCCTTCCACTTATAGTTCCTTCTAAAGGATTTGCATCATCAACCGTAGGTTCGCTTCCAGGATCCTCGCCTTGAGGGCGAATCCCTGCAGCCAAGCTGCGCATTTCCCAGCGAGGATCACGATTGAGGGGCTGGAGCCTCGGAAAATTAATGTGAACACCAACAAGCAGATTATTTGCTGTGTTGGATTCTGCATTCCGTAGGAGCCTCTGAGGGAAGGATTTGCGCACATCTCCAGACTGGCGTAGTACAACGACGATATGCGACTACATTCCATCCAAATTGTTGCTGCTCGGCTGATGTTTGAGACAATCTTTCTTCAGCATAACTACACCTTGCCGGAACCATTGAAGCTATCCTCAATCTAGAATAGGCGGCCAGCTGTCAGCAAAAAAGCTCCCCGCCATCCACGCGACTGATCATCTAACCTAGCGTGGCTGAGCCTCCCTAGGGAGAATAGGAAGGAACGCGCGATCCTTTGTCTCGGACGCATGCTTTTGCCAGGTTGCCCACATGTTGCGACGTTGCCAAAAGCTCTGCATGCCCTTAAAGCTGAGCTCCCGCTGGTGGGAAAGACACAACTTCATGACAAGAGTCGGTACTCGCTGATGTCAAGCTACAGCTTGCAAGGCCCGTGCACTTCTAGCTTCCTCTTCTCTGTGTCTTGCAGCCCTTGCCTAGTGAGAGCTGCTGCGTAGGTCCATCGTAGCACATTGCAGGCTCTTACTCACAAATCAAGTACTGCGCTAAGCTTGCTTGACATCCGCATTCGGAGACGGCCGCAGTTTCGCGATCACACTCCATCCTTGTTGCAGCGAGCCGGAGAGTCAAAACAAACGTACAGCTGCAAGCGCGCGTCGAAGCTCCCAGTGGGCACAACCCCTGACATGTTCTCCGCTGTGGAAAGCTGGTGGAGTCCAGTCACAAGGTCATGCTCGGTGATTCCCTCTGCCTGAATCTGCTCACGAAGGCTTGTTGCCAAATCCGGCCCCATCCCGGCCTGGAGGAGGTCCGTGGACCCTGAGTCCCCCGACCCGGACCCGCCTGGCTTCTTCGGCGGGCTTACAGCAATGGTGAAGCCATAACCCGATGGCTTTTCCAATTTTTCCAACTTGTAGTTGCTCGCATCCTTGGCCTTACCCGACACCTCCGGAGACCAGTAGGAGACGGAGGTGCGGCCAGTTCCCTTAAAGTTCGCAATCTTCAATCCGGCCGTCACCTGGAAGACACCCTCGAACTTCATGTTGTTGGTGTAACTTGGGTACGCCTTCCTGGGTTCTTGTTAGCGAAAGCAATTGAATCTACCATAACAGGGATGTATAGTAAATAATATAGTTTCCTTATTATGGTAACTTCAAATGCATTCCTCAACAAGAACCCTATTAACGGAACCCTTATAGATCCCTTAAAGGAGCCCTTTAATACAGTAACTTAAATTACATTCCTTAACCAGAGCCCAGCTTCGGGTAGTATTTCAGCTGGAAGTCTCCGGCCCATGTCGGGTCTCCAACTGAATCGATGCCACCTGAACCACTCGACACTTTCCCTGCACTTTCGCCCCGAAATTAATATAGGGGCCTGAATAGAGTTTGGGGGAAAATTCTACTATAAGTATAATAAGGAACCCCGAAAACCCTACTCTAATGAAGGCCCCGAAATGGTTCTACAAACTTCAAACCACAAAAACCTGACAGATCCTAACCCATAGGAACACAATGCCCAAGACGATAGGGGAGCCTGGCGAAGGGTTAAGACCTCAGGCACCGTGTAATGTAGGGCCCTTAATCATTAGAATAGGGTTTTCGTGAGTTCCCTATAAAAAGTATAGTATCGTATACCCCCAAACCCTATTCTGACTATAAAGGCCCCTACAGTACTTGCCACAGCTGCTGCTGTAAGCACAAGAATCGCCAACCCGGGATAGCACAAACAGCAGGACCTAAACCGTAAACCGTAAGCCCCACTGATTGAGAGCATCCTGCAACAGTTGGATCAAGCCTCGAGTCCTTTGTATCTATATCTATATATAAATATAGAGTGTGTGTATATGTATATGTCACAATGTACCGGGTTCATGTTGATCTCCTTCAATGGACTGTTGCAAGTAGGAGCTTTGTCCAACCTAAGAGGCGACCCCCGAGCCGTACTCGCTCGGTTTAGGGTGTAGGGAACCAGGGTTTAGGGTTTGGGGAACTAGGGTTTAGGGCATAGGGCTTAGGGTTTACCAGCCTGGAGGCAAGGAAACGCCCACGGACAGGATACGGACATTCATGAAGGCCATGACCTTCTTTGAGGCATCTTCAGGGATCCTTTTCAGAAGCCTTTAAGATCTGGTTTAAGGTTTAGGATATCCTTTTCAGAAGCCTTGCTTGAGGGCCGCGATGAATGGGGCCCCCTTAAGGATTCCCTTAAAAATCAGGTTTGGGGTTCAAAGTATACCCATAAAGGCTCCTTTCAAGGATACCGGGTTTAGGGTTTAGGGTTTAGGGCCCGGCCCCAGGCATGGCTCTTCAGGCGCCTTGAACTGCGCTTTGAGGCACCCGAAGTAGAGACCTATGCCGATGGCCTGCGCAGATTTCAGGCCCGCAAACCTGGGTTGCTGCATGGAACCTAACTCAAGTTACAATAAACTGTGGATATATACTGATTCATTCGGCTTTAATTTTCCGGCAGCTTATACTTATTACAAAAAGCTAAATAGACAAGTATATGTATATATATATATATGTGTATACATCCCCTTATACTGACTTGAAATAAGATCCTTAATACGGTTGATGATATAATTCCTGCATTAGCTTAAGGACCTAAACTTTGGGAATTATGGTATATTCCCTATTCTGGGTAATGCAGGATTTATATCATCAATAGTAGTAACCCAGAAACTTGAAGTGCTTCCACTTGACGCCCACCTGGAATTGAAGTCGAGCCATGAACGCGTAGTTGTCCATGTTCTTCCTAGCGGCTTAGGGTTTATAAGGGGTTTAGGGTTTAGGGGTTAGGGCTTAGGGCTTAGGGTTTGGGGTTTAGGGGTTAGGGCTTAGGGCTTAGGGCTTAGGGTTTAGGGTTTAGGGGTTTAGGGTTTAAGGTTTTGATGGTTTAGGACCAAAGCCCGGCTGTATAAAATTATCATATAAACTCTAGGATTTGGGGCCCGCTAGCCCGGCTATGTTAAGCTATCATTTAAACTCCTGGGGGCTAGGGTTTAGGGTGTAGGGCTTAGGTAACCTTTGACTATAACCCCCTTGGGTCCATATCTAAACATAATGTTTATGACAACCCCTGATATATGTATAATGAAAGGAAATATAAAACACCATTCCAAAGAACAGTGGGGCTTCTTCCTGCTACAATGAACAGAAACATAAATGTAAAAACATCTTAAGGGCGAGAGAGCGTCTTCTTGCTGCACATGAAGCTCCTGCGCAGCCCCTGGAGGCCTCCTCTGGGGTGTTTGAAGGAGCTTGACTTAAGTTACCTCAAAAAGGGATCTATAGTAAATAATGTAGGATTTGCTTGGTGGTAACTTAAATTCAACCCTCTCAGAGATCTATAGTACATGATATGGTTTGCTGTTTATGATAACTTCATTAAACCCCCTTAACCTCTGAAGGAGCCCTTATAGATCCCTTAAAGGATCCCCCATATATCCTTGAAGCCAGCCTCCCCAGAGAGCCCAACACCCGCTAATTAAGGAACTTACCTTAAATCACTAGGGGTTTCATATTATGATTTACGCTATATTCCTTAATTAAGGGGTATTGGGCTCTCTGGGTCCTTCTTCGGAACTCATATATCCTTACTATGGTAACTTAAGTTTAACTCCCCCTAACAAGAACGCAGCCTCCTTCTTCGGAGTCAGTCTGGAGGAGGGTGAAGGTCTCCTGGAAGAGGAGGGAGTTGTCGGAGATGAGCCTCGTCCTGGGTTCTCTGGTCACGGAATTTAGTTCAAGCTACACATACTATTATCTACAGATCCCTATGATGATAACCGTAAGTTAAGTTACCTTATAAGGAAGGCTTACTATTTACAATAGATTTGTTGTGGTAACTTCAAATAAGCTCCTTAACAGAAGCCCAGCTTCACGTAGTCAGCGAGATCATCGAGCGCCTTCTGAATTGGATCTAGGGCCTTGCCTGCGGCCTGGTAGGCCAGGACTAGGGCATTTGCAATGACCTCCACTCCTGCTGGGCTCTTGTTAAGGATTTCTTATTAATGATTAGGGGTTTTCGGGCTCCTTAGGGATTTAGGGATTTAGGGGTTTAGGGTTCAGGGTTACTGGGTTCTTGTTTCGGAATCTGATTTAAGCTACCGATAGGGGTCTATAGTAAATAATGAGGGTTCCCTTATTAGGGTAACTTACATAAAATTCCTGAACAAGAACCCAGCATTTGCAATGACCTCCGCTCCTGAGACCACGGTCTTAGGCAAGCAGAAGTCCATCTTCTGCAGGCTCATAAAGGGAGTTGCGATCTGGATGGATTGCCCCTTGTCGATGTCGACCTTGGTGGTGAGGGTGGCGCAATCTGCCAGCGCTTTCCCCATCTTCTTGTAGTCGTCGTCAAACTTGTCCCACATCTTGGGGTTGTAAGCTTGCGCCACGTGCCCCCAGAGTGTGTCCACGGCGCCGAAGTAGCCACAGTCCGTGAACCAGAACATGGTGAAGTCCCACTTGAACACGCACCAGCCCCCATCCTCCGCATTTCGAGGCAGGGTGATGGGGCCGTTCGCAACTTTGTCAAGGAAGCTGTCCAAGACATCTCCGACAGTGGTGAGGCCGTCATAGACTGTGTACGCCATGTCCTGGGCTGCCCCCAAAAAGCTGTCCAAAAGGCTGTCCCAACCCTGCTTTGTGAACATCTTCTCCACTTCCTTCGGCATGAGGTCGGCTAAGCCCTTGCCGAGCTGTTTGCTAACACTCGGGATTCCCTTCAGCACCACGTTCTTCATGCCCTTGTACCCGGTCTCTCCTGTAATATAGGGGCCTTATTGAATCTTAATAGGGTTTTTGGGTACATTATACTATAAATGTATTACCCGGTCTCTCCTGTACTCTGCAGGACATTGATGGCTGCCTTCACGTCGCCGCCCTTGTCCTTTGCAAGGTTGTCCAAGCAGTCCTTAATTGGCTGTTAGCTGAATCGTGGCACGGTTTCAGCTCCCTCAGCGGGAAAAGGGCCCCGCACCCAAACGAAACTCACACGAATGGTAGGGATGCATTGCAATAGTTCAGGGAACAGCTGCAACAAAAACCGAAACCTTCTAAACCCTAAAACCCTTTAGCAGCCAAGCGTCCATGAAGGGGATCGCTTTGAAGCAACTCTTCGGTGCTTCGCACTGCAGAGCCTTCGGCCAACTCGCCTACTGCTAGGGGCTAAAAGCTCAGGATTTAGGACGTCACAAACCACATAATTGCAAAATCTGACCCGCACACAAAACGGACGCCATTGTCTGTTGATTCTTGGTTGCCGGAAATGACAGGCTACGGAATGATTTGCGGGACGTCATTTTGAGCGAAAGCCCAGCAGGCGTGCCACGCGCCTTCTTCTTGCACTTCTTCACCTTGCACTTTCCAGTGGCGCACTTGGCAACATCCTTGATCACCTGCACAACGCCCCAGATTAACCTTGAAACCCGTGATATAGGGGCCCTAATAAGGGAGTTTTCGGGGTCCATTATAATATAAATGCAATAAGGAACCCCCAAAATAGCATCAGTACCTATTTAAGCCCCAATATTAGAGGCACGGTGCGGAGGGCGTAGGAGACACTAAGCCGCTTGGAAAGCAAAGGGCGCTGGGCCCTTGGGGGTTCGGGGTTTCAGGCTCCGAACAATTCAAACAACATACTAGAATTACAATACTTATTAAGACTAGTAACAGTAATAGTATTAGTCATCGAAATTGTAATGGTGATGGTACGAGCAGTATAGTAATTGCCATCGTAATGGTGATGGGAATGAGAACGTGCATGGTCCTGGTAATGGTCATGGCAATGGTAATGGTAATAGTAATAGCACTTGCAATAGTAATCGCAATAGTATTGGCAATGGTACTGGCAATGGTAATGGTAATGGTGCTGGTAATGGTACTGGTAGTAATAATACCTAAGTCCTATATTTGCAGCTAAACCCTATACCTAGGGGTCCCCTAAACCCTAAACCGTATACTTAGGGGTCCCCTAATATAGGGGCCATAATAATTAGAATAGGGTTTTGGTGCCATTATACTATAAATATAACAAGGAGGTAATTATTTAGGCCCTTACAGGAAGCCCTGAACCCTTTACCCCTGATTTGAGGCTTGCGCCCTGCACATGGGAACCAGGCCTCCCAGGTGCAGCTCACCACCTTCTCCCCGCACTTCTTTGCCTTTGATTGGGTTCAGGGCTTATAGGGTCTAGGATTTAGGGTTTAGGGTTTCGGGTTTGGGGTTTGGGGTTTAGGGTTTAGGGCCCGAAAGAGGGTCCATGTAGGCATCTGGGCACTTTGGAGAATGATGGCCATATCCTTGCTTTTGGGTCTAAGTCTGTGCTAAACATGGCCATCTGGTGGCCCCAACCCCAAAACAGAAGAGCATATGACCATCATCTGACTGTTAGGTGGCCTTCAGTTTGGGGATGGGGCAGCACCCTAAACCCCAAACCGTGCCTAAACCCTAAACCCTCAACCCTAAACCCTTCACCCTTCACCCTGAACCCAAAACCCCAAAGGCAACCGAGCCAGCCCTGCCTGCTAATTTTGGAGTTCAGGCTCAGGGCTGATACCAGAGCAAGGAGGAGCTACATCTGACGACGCCTCAAAGAGGCTGTAGGGATTTAGGGATTCAGGGTTTAGGATTTGAGCTGTAGGATGTAGGCGCCCTTTATTGTAGCCCCTCATTACCTCTTAATGAGAAGTATTAGATCCCTTTAAAGGGTACATACTTGGGGGGTCCTGGTATAGATAACTGCTACAGTTTTTGAGGATAATCCCCCCCCCCTCTCCCCGAGGTCGGAGTTGCACTGGTGACCAGCTCTTTCCCGCACTTGGCCACGTCTTCCTGCTCGGATTCCGGATTCTGAGCCACACGGTTTAGGGTTTGAGGGTTTATTATGTATAGGGGCTTCGGGTTTAGGGTTTAGGATTTAGCATTTTGGGTGAAGCATTGAGGGTTTAGGATTTAGGGTTTAGGGTCTAGGCTACTTGGAGGTCCGGGGCTGGTTGGGGAAGTACAGCTATAAGTATCCTAACTCAAAATTATACGCATAGCTACCATACTTAAAATTTTCTTTAGAACTGCCCTTGGACCTGCAAGTACGAGGTCGCGGCTTTGGGTTTTTTTAGGGCCGGCGTCTGGGAGTCAGTAAGTTCGAAGGTTCGGTCAATTAGGGGGACTTGGGGGTTTAGTGCTTTTTTGGTTTAGGGTTTAGGGCTTTAGGTTTAGGGTTTAGGGGTTTAGGGGTTTAGGATAGGACTTTGTGTAGCCGACTGCTTTGGTCTGGAGCTTCAATACGATTGAACTCACTCAGTTTCGGGCTGAGGAGGTTTTTGGCTCAACGTTTGGGACCAGGCAGCGCTGACCCTAAACCCTAAACCCTAATCCCTAAATCCTAAACCCTAATCCCTAAAACCCTAAAACCCTAAACCCTAAACCCTAATCCTTAAACCCTAAACCCTAAACCCTAATCCTTAAACCCTAAACCCTAAACCCTAATCCTTAAACCCTCAACCCTAAACCTCAAAATCCAGCGTTGAGCAGAACTTGAGTCTGAAAAGCTCTAGGTTGCAGTCAGGAGCAGAGCCCTGGATCGGAACCGCCCGTGTGCAAGATTTGGGAGTTTCCGAAGATCAGGGACCCTAATATACGGTTGATGATCTAAATCCTGCATTACCTTAAGGACCCTAAACTATGGGAATTATGGTATATTCCTTACTATGGGTCATGCAGGATTTACATCATCAACAGTAGTACCCTAAATAGTAGGATCCTGAAAATCAGGACCCCAAGATAAGGTAGCCTGTTGCGATTCCCACAAAAGCGGGTGTCTTAAACATACCTTTCATCGGAATTCAGAGCCTCTCCTCGTAACCGCAGACGCATGACTTGCATTTGCTCTTCCCGGTCGCATTTGTGGCCAGGGTCGTCTCCCCCTGGTGCTTGCGCTGGAGGAGTGCAAAGCCGTCGTCAACCACGTGGTCCGACAGGGTACCGCCATCACCAAGCTCATAGCTATAGTAGAAGCCATCGCCAAGGCGGTCAGAAATCTCGCAAGGGCCATCGTCACAGTCGTCTGTCGCTGCCAATGCACATGCGAAGCAGACACACAATGCGAGCAATGCACTGCGAGACATTGTCGGACAAAACTGCTCTAAAAGCCTCTTTGCCGTCCTTGCGGCTGGTGCGCAGGTGCGGCCCTAAGGAGGCAGTCGGAAGAAAACGGCTGCAACTGTGCGGCCATGCCAAACTTAGATGTCTGCAGGCTCCCACTAGACACCCAAACTTGCAGCAAATGGGGATTTTTGCTGTAAACCCTAAACCCTTAACCCCAAACCCTAAACCGAACCTAAACTCATGCACTGATTTTTCCATTGCTGTCTATGTCCACGGCTAATGGTTTTGCGACCATGGCGGGACGCGGCAAGACAAGATGATGTTGCGAATGAGCAGAGGGTTTAGGGTTTCGGGACAAGACGGTCTTCACCGTAAGCTTGGGGTTTAGAGGCTTAGGGACAAGACGAGCTTCAGAATGAGCAACACGCGCAGAGTTTAGGATTTAGGGACGAACTTCAGAATGAGGAAGAAGTGGTCATACAGGGGCCTGAATAATTGGAATAGGGTTTGGGGGTAATTGTATTTTACTGGGGGTAATTATATTTTACTATAAGCATAATAAGGAGCCCCAAAGTAGAATTGGCAAATATTAAGGCCCCCCATAGTAGGGGGTCTATGCTAGTGGGATAAGAGCTTCAGCCCCGTATCCCTACCTGCGTGCCCTTGATGTCTTCCAGTCTACTTCCCTGACTGTGGTACCAACATCGCAGCGACTTCGTTCTTCTGCCAACAGACGAGAATGCACAAACAGCGCTATTCGGTACCATCATTGATTGTCAGCTGTCGCTACAGGATCTGCATCTTGCACACATAGAATTCTACTTGCTGGTGTTACACATCGTAAACCCTCAAACCTAGACCTAAAGCCCTGACACAAAACCCCCAAACCCAAAGCACTCAACCCCGACGCCCTTTCACAGTGCTGCTGCGAATATAGGGGCCTTAATAGCTAGAATAGGTTTTGGGGGCCCATTAAACTACAAGTATAATAAGGAATCCCCCCCAAAAAAAGGCGTTAGGTAATTATTTTCAGCTCCTATACTATAGAACCTTACTTAAGATCCCTGTAAGGAACCCCTTAAAGGAACCCAAAACCCCCGTTAGGCTCCTATACTATCTTGCCGAGCTGCTTGCAGGCAAGGCATTCCAGTACTCCACAAAGGCCAAGCATTGCCTTGCTCCGGCTTCGGGACATTCGGGCCTAGGGTTTGGGGCTTTTGGCGCTCAGGGCTTCGGCCTTCGGGGGGTTTTTTGGTGGGGGGATTTGGGTGGTTTTGGAGGTATCGGGACCCTTACCGATTTGGGCTCATGGGCTTTAGGGCTTTGGAGGGTTGTGGCGTTCAAGGTTTGGGGACCCTAAGCCCTAAGCCCTACACTCTACACCTACGACACCCACACCGTTGCAGGTCGGTTTAGGCTTCAGGGTCTGGGGCTTTAGGGCTTCGGAACTTTAGCCTTTAGCCACAGTCGGGCTTTCACTTAAGGATCTCTCGAAGGTCGCTTCAAGGATTCGAGCTTAGGGCATAGAGATGTGCCTGAACCCTAAACCCTAATGTGTGGCTGCCACTTTGCACCACTAATATTCTCCAGAACCCGGCGAGATGCTCGAAGTCCTGCGCGCAGAAGATCCTCGGTGGACGGAGCCCCTCCCAGCACCGAAGCCCTAAACCCCGAAACCCCAAAACTCCTAAACCTGTAAACCCCCAAACCCCAAAACTCCTAAACCCCAAAACCCCCAAACCCCAAAACTCCTAAAACCCCCAAACCCCCAAACCCCAAAACTCCTAAACCCCAAAACCCCCAAACCCCAAAACTCCTAAAACCCCCAAACCCCCAAACCTGTAAACCCCCCGTAAACCCCTAAACCCTAAAACCTAAAGGCCTAAACCCTAAAACCCTAAACCCCTCAACACGAAAACCCAAGCCCGAAGCCTAAACCCCAAACCCCACAAGCCCCTAGATCCTGGATCCGTCAAGGGCCCCAAAGCTTTTAGGGGTTTAGGAGGGAATCCCGGACTTTCCCTTGTACAGCGAACATCCCAACTCACTAAGAAACAAGGCCTGGAACCCCACAAATTCACGGTTTGGAGAGTTTAGGGGTTAGGGTTTGGCGGTTTCGGGATTTAAGGTTTAGAACTTTAACTTCCCATTCCCTAGCACCTCCTCCTCCTCCCCATGCTAACCCTACCGCTCCTACTATGCCTTCAGCGTATAATCCTATGCTACTACCCCACTTCCACTGCAAATCCTTAACGCGCGAAACCCTACACTCGAAAGGCGGAGCAGGAGTGCCCCTCGAAGACCCTCCCAACCCTAAACACTGAACCTAAACTCTTTCATCCTGCCAGTCATCTAAAAAAACCTTTAACCCTGCCAAATCAAGCAACCTCTCTTCGAGCCTTATCTTAAAAACTTTTGCAAGCCTTATAACAGACCCGTACAGAAGGTAAACCATACACCAACCTCAAATCTGCGAGCTGGCGTTGAACCATTCTGAATTTTGGGATGAAGACGGCTGTGCATCTTGGTGAGCGCCGCTTGGGCGTCTTTTGTGGCCGTCGATCCACCCATAGCCGTCAGGACCATCAGCATTTCGTTCCTGCTGGGGGCCTGAGCTGTCCAGAGTCCAGTGGCAGGTCGGTGAGAGCAGCCTCGCTGATGTGCGTCGACTTGTCCAGCTGTTGAAGCTTTCTAAGCCAACTTTTTCTCCTATCAATATATCAGAGTTTCCGAAAATAGGCTGTACCTTATTTTGGGGTCCTTACTATATAGGGTCCCCTATTTTGGGAAACTCCAATATGGGATACCATCGGTTTTGCGGGCTGGCTAGACAGTACTCCACCGATCTGCGCGCCAAGGAGGTGCGGCTCTTTCGACTCCTGCTCGGCCAAGGGAAAGAGTCTTTCCTTTGCTGCCTTCACGACTTTGAAGGGTTTAGGGTTTAGGGTTTTGAGGTTTAGGGTTTTTTTTTAAATGCAGTGGGCCTTTTAGGTTTAGGGTTTAGGGTTTAGGGTTCGAGAAGAGGGTATCTGCCCCAGGTAGCGCTTTTTAAGCCTTCGCGAAGGGGGCCGGTGGGGTGGGCTTCTAGCCCAGGCTGCAGAAGCAGACGAAAAGCCCAAAAACGCCCGGCAAGACATGCACCTTGAGGATCCTAGGCCGGTAGCTGAAGTTCCTGCCACCCAGCACACGGTTTCTGTCAGTGTGCTGGTTGCTTGTTGGCGGTGTCCTCCCTTCCGCACCGTCCTCAACAATCCTGGCTCGCGTGGCCTTCATCAAGACCCACACCATGTCAACAGTTTCCAGCAGAGCCAACCCAGCCAGAAAGTTCATCAAACCTAGGCCTCGATTTGCTTCAGGCAGTGTTGGCAAACAGTTTTGCGGAGGACCTGTTGTGAATTGTCACATGCCACAACACAACAACCATCGGCACCCACAAAGTCGTCGACCGCCTTCAGCGTCAGTGTATTCGACAACTTGGCGCTCAGCCCACACAACTTTTCAAGCAGTGCCACCAACAGGTTTCGTGGGCTATCGAACGGCTTTAGCTTACATGGCTATGGGACACAGAAACTAGCAGCACCCACGAAGTTGTACAACGTGACGGTTTCTTTGACATAGCAATAGCAATGGAAGCAAAAACTATCAGCACCAGCAAAGTTGCAGGCTTCCGCGCGCAACCATGCGATGGTCACATGCCCACACAACTGTTCGGCATTGCTACCAAAAGGTTTTCCTGCTATCGAATGGCGTCACTCCAGATGGCAGTGGACACAGAAACTAGCAGCTGCCACGAAGTTGCGGGCCTCGGCGAGGAACAACGTGATGTTCAAACGTCCACAGAACATTTTCCACCGTTGCCACTAGTCACCCAACACACAGTGTGCTGTCTCACATGACATTGGGCCTCCCTTTGTCACTACAAAAAGCACCGACGCCCACAAAGTTGCGGACATGCTCCCGGAATATAGCGTGAACAATCTAATTTCCTCCTCGCTTCCGGCATTACCGCCACCAGTTTTGTCGAATGGTCTTTGATGTGCAATGAAAAAGAAAAACACCAGCACCCACAAAGTTGCGGGCTTCCGGGAGGAAAAATGTGAGTTCACATCATGCCCACACAAGTGCGCAGCGCAGCGAGTGCTGCAGGCTCCCGAATGGCGTGAGTTTACAATGCAATCGGAAGACGAAAGTAGCAGCACCCATGCCGGCGCCTTGCGGGTTGCCCGTCTGCAAAGAGACGATCTGGCATCAATGCACGACAGTACAGGAGAAAAGTTTCTCGCTTACAAACGCGCAGCAACACCACGTACAGCCGGCATAGGTCACGGAGGTTTCCCAAAGACTACCGGGGAGCTGCGAAATGCTGCTGCGTGACAGGGCGGATAGCTCAAGACAACGGCTGTCACTCGTTTGCAATTAGATCGCAACCTAAGATGCGATGGGACTTGCAATGCTGGCCCGCTTTTGTCTCGGAGTGCCTTCTTCTTGTGGAAGCATCATCGAAAGTTGGCTCCTTCTGCCGTTGCGGCAGGCTCTGCAAAGTAGACTCAAAGCTTTGAGCCTTGCCCGAAGCGAGTCAGCAAGACTGTCGTGACTTGTCAACGATGAAAGGAAAGAACAACCTCAGCTGCTTCGGCAAAAGTCTTTCGGGCAGAAGCGACCCAAGTTAATGGACAATTCTGATGCTTTGAGCCACCGAAACGCCGCGAAACCTGAGCGTCAATCGCATCAACTGGAAAGCTCAAGCAAGCATCATGAATGTGAGCATCGTAGAAATCTGTGTCGTGACTGCTTTGCTGTAACATTCAACTGGCGACTCCTTCAATATCCGCTTGAAATGCTTTTTTCCAGGATCTGGCTGCTAGACAATCCCGATGCAGGGCCGATGCCGTCAACGACGGCAGGGGGGTCCAAATGAACGCCGAAATGGAAAACCTATATACTCGTACGAATAACTGCACCACATCATGAATGCTCGCACTGTGAAAACTATACATGACTTGTACATGCCACTCATGCAGCACATGATGTGGTGAATGCCAGAACGACTAGAAGTTCTCATGGCCCATTTAACAACATAATGTTTCAAGCATGCTAACAGCACAACCCATGCGAACACCAACAACACCGGGGCTCAACGGCAACACCTCGGCACGGATATGGAGAAGGGGATGGAGAAAGGGCTTCTCAAACCATCGAGGCTACTTGAAAACACGTATACCAGTCATGCCAGCAAATGCAATGCTGCAAGGGCACACTGGACCGGGAGGGGCAAGCGGGTGTAGTAAGCAAAGGAACTGCATGTTTGCTCAAGTCGCCACGGGGCTCCGCTTGCCCCAATGCAATGAAATTGCAGCAGCTGCTGCGGGCAGCCGCACAGTTTGACCAACATTCTGCATGGGGCACGCAACGGAGTTAAGTATCGTATCTTTGCAGGGCTCATGCAAACGACCATGCTCAACGCGTTCCCCCAACTTGTTTACAACAGCTCTGACGGGCCTGTTCTGAAGCCATCTTGGAGACAATGAAAAATTCGAAACCACTTGGATGACGTTTGTACCGACGGTTGTCACGAAAATCTCACGTTGAGAGAGAACGCCTCTGCTTCGAACACAAGCTCATGCACTCCGTTGGAAGTCATCTCAGAAGTACCACATCATCACCGATCCTGATTTTCAGGTGTGTTTTACTCGCCTACACGGGCAGCTGCTTTGGTTGCTGTGGTCAACACGCTTCAGGCGAATGCGAAGTGATTCGCAACTGGCTTTGGAGGCTAGGGTTCACGGGTTGTTGACTTCGTTTTCAATCCCGATCATATCAACAACCCAAAGGCCGCGTGCGACCCCTGAACCCCAAGCCCTCAACCCTCAACCCCAAACCGCACAAGCCCCAAACCTAAACTCTAAAAATTGCACTGAATGCCTCAACCCAAAGCGCACACCACACACTTTTTCCAAGGCAGATTATACACTGCCCGATTTCAATTCCTACCGCAACTCAAACCTAGACCTGCCCAAAACCCCAACCATACAGAAACCCAAAACCCCTATAGAACCTGGGTCCTAAATCCCCCAAACCCTACACCCCTAAACCCAAACCCCTATACCCCCAAAACCTACGCACACCCGAGTCGCATTGCATCCGTGGCCGGCACGGCATCTGCGGTTGGTGCAGCCGCGGTCGTGAGGTCGACCGTCCAATTCAGGAACCTGCTGTTGTGGGGGCCTAGGGAGCAGGGTTTAGGGTTTTAGGGTTTAGGGTTCAGGGCTTAGGGTTACCGGGTTAAAGTTAAGGCGTTTAGGGTCTCAGGGTTTAAAGGCCTTTTGACGACAGGGCTTCACGGTTTTGGGGAGCGCTTCTTGAGACGTCCATCACCTATACCTAATTAAGCCAAAGCAAAACCTGAACTCCAACAACAACGAACCCTACCCCTTAAACCCCCAATCGTCTGAGTTGCATCCCGGGAGCGTCAAGCCATGCTGCGCCGCAAGGAGCGGAACCGCTCCGCAAATCTCGGCGGACACCTGCAAGATGCGCAGAAAGGGGTTCAGGGCTCTGGGCTTTACACGGGGTTTGGGGTTTTGGATTTTGGGTTTAGGGTTTAAGGCTCTATTATAAAGGGGTTGAGTATCGAAAGGCCTTCACGAGCAGACGAAAGGGGCCTCGAACAAAAATTTGGGCTTGAAGGCAAATTCAGCTGTTTTTGGTGGGGCTTGGCACGTTTCAAGGAACACCAACAACCAAACACAACCCCTACGACTTTGCGTACTGATGCACAACACCCCACCACATCCTGACCTCATCTTGACCTCTACCTACCTAAGACACCTCAAACCTCAACCGAAACACCCCAAAGACCCTTCCGAAAGGAAAAGAGCTGCAAAGCGATGGAAACAAAAGTGACAAAAACGATAACCTAACCATATAGAAGCGCCATCTTGCAAAATTGAAAAATAGCATGTGAAAAACAAGAAAGCTCATGAACGAACATCCTGAACCCTAAACCTTAAACCCAAGACTTGTCTATAAACAACCCTAAGCCCGCAACCCGAAGCCCTGGCCTCGTCTGAGCCAGTTGCCGAGGCGATGCGGAGAGCTCGGGAATCAGCTGCTTGAGACAACCTCTTTAGTGGTGAGGGGTTCAGGGGTTTAGGGGTTTAGGGGTTTAGGGGTTTAGGGGTTTAGGGGTTTAGGGGTTTAGGGGTTCAGGGGTTTAGGGGTTTAGGGGTTCAGGGGTTTAGGGGTTAGGGTAGGACTACTTAAAGGGTAGTATTTCGTATGTCTAGTTTTTCAAAACTCTGTACTAAGCTTTCCTCAGCCGTAGACCCCTCAAGACCTTAACCTTGAGACAAATTCGTCAGCACCTCAGCAAACCAAATACCAAACGCTAACACTTCAGAAACCGTCCAAAACACAACACTATATAATAAAACTTGGAGGCTTTCATAATCAAATCATTATTTTGGGGTATCGTATATTATTACATATAACGACCCCAGAAGTAGCACTGTTAATTATTCCGGCCCCTTGATTCACCGGGCAACAACGTGAAGGCGGGCTCGAGAATCCGCGCTGCCGGAGGGTGAAGGCCGAAGCAAAAGCGGCACCTTGGAAGTGAAAGGGTCCGAGAATTCAATATATAAATTCAGGGTTTAAGGCTTAGGGTATATAGGGCTTAATGTAGGGGCCTTAACAATAATTAGAATAGGGTTTTGGGGCCCATTGTAGTGCAATTTAATAAGGAGCCCTCTAGGTAATTATTGAAGCCCCTATGGTGGTGCTTCGTGTTTTGGAATCTATTTAAGGTGTAAGGTGATGAAGATCGACGGTTAACGCGCACAAGCATTCACTCGCAAGCTGGTAGAACACACGACTCTACAGCCCCAAAATAGCCGAAACATGAAGCACACTCCCCTTAAAATCCATGTGCTCATATAGTACAAACTTGGGCCCGAAAGCTGCTAAACAGGGATGACATTGCGGCCAAAGTATATGACAAATGAATACATGGGCACTCAGGGCTTGCAACACCTGAGGGTAGGATCCTAAAGAGACCAGAAAAGGAACCCTAAAGCCCAAACCCCAAGCCCCAAACCCTAAACCCCAAACCCTAAACCCTATAGCCTAAACCCCAAACCCTACAGCCTAAAGCCTAAATCCCAAACCCTCAACCTTAGAGCCTAAGGTTCAAACTGTATAAACCCTCAAGCCTAAACCGTTGCTTTGGCGTTTTTTGGCGGCATCGCGAAGTTCTCGGAGCTTCTTCTTGGCCTGCAAAAATCAGCAATTTCCTAACCATGCTTCTGTATTGAATCCCATACTTGTCTTTCAGGAGAGCCTCTTCACCTCCTTCTTCCGTTCTTCTTTTGAGCTCTGCCCGCTTGTTCATGCGGTTTGTGTTGGTCGTCTCCGGCCAGCGCTTCTCGTCCTTGCAAGGGGTAGTGGGCAGCTTTCCGCGCTGTAGCCGCCTCGCGTCCGGGCCTCGCGCCGCTTGGCGACCTCGCGCTGCAGCTGTTGCAGCTCTTTGGCTTTGGCCTCGGCATCGCGGGAGTCGACGATTTCAGGTGAAAGCGTTCTCTTCAGATTACCAAATAACATAAAGTGTAGCTCAGTCGAAGAACCTTGCCTCCGTTCCTTGTTGCAGTTCACTGTGTAACATTGGTACACGAAGACCAGCACGGCCAGGAGGCGCCGCGTCAACGCTGCACGGCTGCAGTACACATGCTTTGCCTGCGAGCGCGCGCTTGTGCCCGCATCAACTCTTGTGTCACTTGCTCAGAGGCCGGCCACGAATTCCACGGAGGCCGTGACTGTCTTCTCTTTTTCGTGCTCATGCTTGAAAAGGCTCTGCGTCAACATGGTCGTCCATCAGCCTCGATCAGCGAGGCCTGATCGCTTCGCATCAATTTGCAGTCGTGACACTGGCCTTGCCTTCCAGAGTTTCCAGGACGTCTTCCCAAAGGACACACTCCCTCAAACTTCGGGTGTGCTGGGCTTAGTGCTAGGGCGCTGTTGTGTCTGAGCAGTCGCTGCTGCAGGTAAGCGTTCAATATCAGAACTGCAGGAAAGCCGCCAAAGAAGGAGCGACTCTCCAAAAAACACGGAAGCAGGCTGACAGCTGCTTTTCTGTTGCCAAATTCTGCTTATAAAATCTGCCGTTTACATTGGGCACATACCGTGCTGCTTTCAATCCTGCCTGGGCTCCGTTGAAAGTAGCGGGCTGTCGGTTACGCCAAGCCTCTGCGGGGATGCAGAACTAAACCCTAAAATGTTTGAACTTAAGGCGGCCTTGGCGTGGGCTGTCTACTACGCACAGGTGCGAGCGGCCTGGATGTGCACACACCAGCGAGCACCCATGACGTCACCAGACCCTCAACCCTGAACCCTAAAGCCTCAACCCCAAACCCTAAAGCCTAGCCAAAGGCGCCCTTGGAAAGTGGAGCTTGCCGCCGTGGACGGAGCCAAAACCAAAGCCTCCCGAAGCGCAGCATTGTGGTGATGTAGGGTTTAGGGCCTTGGGTTTAGGGCTTAGGGCCTGGAGCTTAGGGTTTATGGCATTGGGTTTAGAGTTTAGGGCCTTGGGTGTATGGGTTAGGGCCTTGGGTTTAGGGTTTATAAGGGCCTTCCTTGGGTTTAGGGGTTAGCACTAGTCACTAGTCGTGACCGTCATCACTCTAGTAGTGGTTGTGCTAATAGCAACAGCAGCAGTCGTCGCTGTGGCTTTACGACCCAAACAACGCCGACACGCTGATAATGATATACTTATTGCGTCCCCAAGCACTACACCCCAGACTTAAATCAACCAAAACTCTGAACCCTAAACTTAAATCAACACTACACCCCAAACCCTTATTGCCACCACTCACCCTACGGCTCTATTGAGACCCCGAGCGCCTGGAGCCGCTGGGCCATTTCCTGGGAGCAGTTGTGGTTCAGCGACCGGGGATACGTCTAAGGGATTCAGGGTTTAAAATTTAGGGCTGAGGATTTAGGGTTTAGGATTTAGAATAACTAGGGCTAGTATGTAAAATCTAGATTTGTATTCCTCATTGGGTTTAAGTACCCACAAACATGTAAATAGTTAAAGTGTCTTGCAATGCTTTAACCCATTGTATACAGGTTGGCAAGGGTTGCTGATGTGGGGATCTGAGTAGCTAGCAACTGTACCTCCTGGTGCAATAGTCCCTACATGATACATCCCGCGAGACCGTGTTCAATTCACCCTAACCCCTAAACCTTAAACCCTGAATCCTAAACCTTAAACCTTAAACCCTGAATCCTAAACCCCAAGCCCTCAACCTTAAACCCTAAACCCTAAAACGGGGCTGTAAGGGATTTTATGGCTTGGGGCCTGTACGATTTTCAGGGCGCAGCGCCTTTCGGCTGTGCAGGATTAACTTAAGGTGTCGCTCCTCTTCGCGGGTTGGATACTGCTAGGGTTTAGGGATTAGTGTTCAGGTTGAGGGACTTAGGGGTTTAGGGGTTAGGGGTTTTAGGGGTTTCGGATCCACACTTTAGGGGCTGAGTACCCTGCCCAAAAAAAGGTTAACCTTTCCAATTATGGTAGGATTGTATAGAAACCCAAAAGGTTAAAGGTTCCTACCCAGCTACTAACTTAAAGCTTGTCTGGGTTTCAAGGTTGAGGGTTTTGGTGTCTAGGAGCTACGACTGACAGGTTCGAGTGTTTAGGGTATGCAGTGCTTAGCAGTCTTAAGGCTCAGTATGTTTCGAGGCTTTGGAGGAGCTTCGAAAGCTTTTTGGTTGCCTCGGCAACTCCGACTGAACAGCTCAAACTCTGAAGAAACAGGCTTTTTGCCCCAAAACACAAACAAGGAAACCCTCGATAGTTTCGACAGCACAATCTGAATACCACAAAAACCCAGGACTCCGAAAACCTCAACCATTATTCCCATAAAGAGATCCCTGCGAGCCCCAAGCCAAACCAATAAAAAAAAACACAACACCACAGAACCCCAAACCCCGAACGTCAAAAGGCAAAGCCTCTCAGCCCCCCACCAGCCATAAAACCCAAACTCCCACAACTTGAAGACCCCTCACACACAAACCCTAAGCCTCAAACCACTGGAGCCCCCCCAAGCCCCTTCTACCTGCCCCCAACCCCTAAACCCCTAAACCGCTAAATCCCTCAACCCTAAACCCCTAAACCCCTAAACCCCTAAACCCTAACCCCTCAACCGCCCGAAACCCCTAAACCCTAACCCCTAAACCCCGAAACCCCTTAACCCCTAAACCCTAAACCCCTAAACCGCCAAATCCCTCAACCCTAAACCCCTAAACCCCGAAAGCCCTCAACCCTGAACCCCACAAAACAGCCCATCCAAAGTCGGGACTCGGCGACAGGCGCCAAGGAACTCGGCGGCCCGAGGAAGAATTCCACGCCTCGGCTTCGGAATGTTCGGGCTCCTTAGCGTTTAGGGTTTAGGGATTTAGGGGGGTTAGGGTTTAGGGTTACTGGTTCTTGCTAAGGATCTTTTTGGGGCTATCCGAATAGACTAATGGGGATCTATAGTGAACTACAGGGTTGCTTGGAGGTTCATGGGTAGTTGTAAGTGGGGTCATAAGTCCCCTTACAAGTGTTGTAAGTATATACAGTTACTGATAATCCCACTTACAACCAAGAGGGTCCATATGCACTGCCATTATGGATTTAGGCATCAAAAGACCATCCTAATAATGATTTTGGGGACCTAATTCCAAAGTAGGAGTACATATGGACCCTCTGGGTAACTACCCATGCAAATCCCAAGTAGGGTTTGAGGACTGAGGGTTAGGGTTGATTTCAGTTTCGAGTTGAAGGGCTTGGGGTTTAGGGCTCAGGTCTAAGGGTTTAGGGTTCAACGGTTTGGGGTTTTAGAGTTTGGAGGTTTGTGGTTTATTGACTTCCTGTCGGGTTTCTATCAGAATTGTTTATCGTTCCTGGGTTTGACCAGGAATAGGTTAGGGCATGACACAGGACACCCGATGATTAAGAACATTAAGCTGTGTTTGTGAATTAAAGGGTGTGGGCCGGGCTCTCGGACAGGCTCCCTGAGGGTAGGACTCGTCCGCAAACTAACATCAGCTAGCTTTTTTGCAGGCGCTTATTCTAAACACTAAACCCTAAGCCCTAAAGGCCCTAAACCCTAAACCCTTACGCAGTTGGTAGTTCGTCAAGGTACAGCTTAAACTTAAGGGTGTGCGGCCTAGAAGTTAAGGTCTCAAGGCCCAAGGTTTCGTGTTGAGGGTTTGCGGTGTATAGGGTCAAGGGTTGTGGTTCAATTATGTTGGAATAACTCGGTGCTTGCCTTCCGCTGCGCTTTTTGGTGCTTCGTGCATTCAGGGATTGAGTCCCGATCAACTTAGCTCTGATTAGTAGGGAATGGAAGACCGGTAGTAATAGTAGTTATAATAGTACCCCATTCCTCCATTCCCTACTAACCAAAGGTAAGTCAACGGTGCTCACACTAGCTTCCACGGGCCCTCTGCGCAAAGATGCCCCCCCTGCCCAGCTTGAGAACCCACACCGCTCAGCTGATCGGAGGCTTTCGGGTGTCCTCAAAGCCCTAAACCTTAAAGCCCTAAACCCTAAATCCTAAACCCTATCCTGAAACCATATTCCAACTTTCTGGAGTAAAGCCCTAAACCCGAAATCCTTAACCCTAAACAGGAAATTTTGAACCAGGACGGCAGCAACAGCACCCTGAGTTGTGCACCACCCAGCGGTCTCTCTTGGACGAGAGAGTCCCATCTGAAGGTCATGCAGCTGCAGGCGTTTTAAGCATTTAGGCATTTAGGGTTTAGGGTTTGGGGCGTTGGGTTTAGGGCTTAGGGGCTTAGGGTTTAGGATTAGGGTTCAGCGTTCAGCGTTTAGGGTTTAGGGTTTAGGGTTCAGGGTTCAGGGTTTGGGGTGTTGGGTCTGGGGGTTAGAGGTTAGGGTGGTGGGCTTCGGGTTCAGGGCTTACCTTCTCTACAGGTTTCTGTTCATTCAATGATACTTGAGGATTTATTCCAAACGCCCAGAACGTCAAGACGCTTTAACAGAAACCCCCACATCAACAAAAGGCCCTAACTGCACCCAAAAAACACGCTGGCCGGAAAGGCCTTAACATCGAGACCTCTAGGCTGTAAACCCGCAGCACTCATATCCCTAATTCCCCCCTCTCCCACACCCCACCCTACGAATACAGTCTCATGGGCCGTAGTCGTACGCCAGCCGCTGCGTCGCCGCGCGCAGCGTTGCCGCGCTGGCATCCAGGACGAAGAGCTCGACACGATGCCGGAGAGTAGTACGGCCTCCCGTGCGAGGGCTGTAGGGTTTAGGGTTTAAGGTTTTTTTTAAGGGCTCTTTTTCGGTCTGCACAACACGTCACGAAAGCCCGGTTGGGGCGAGCAGGCTACCTTGTGCAGGGTTTAGGGCTTAGTGTTTAGGGTTTAGGGGGGAGTTTGGGGCTGGATGCGGATTTTCAGGTTTGGGGCTTAGCATTTAATATATTTGGAGGGCTCAGGGTTTAGGACATCAGAGGTTTGGGTTTTGTGTTCCGGGCTTTTGAAACTAAGGGTTTGGGGCTTCAGGTTTTGAAGTTTCGGTTTTCGGTTTAGTCTTTTCAACTACCTGTGAAGCTCAAGATTTGCATCGTCAAGGCGCAGAGTCCGCCGCGGACGCTGTTGAACCATTGGAACCTCGGGAGAATCTCAGAGATATACAGGTGGGATAGTGACTACAAGAAAAGATCTTGTGGTCTGCTCTGATATCATTACTTATGGACCACAGGGGCATCTATTTACAAGTTGCTGGAACCTCTGTACTAAGGTTTCTGCGAAGGTGTTGAGACTTTCTGCAAAAGCTTTTCAGATTTCTACGGATCTGACCGTGCTTCGAGCTTCGAGTTTACTACAGCACTTGAGGTCAATGGTTCCTTGTTCAGGCACCAAAGACAAATGGAACCTCGTAGCAGACTAAAGTACATTGTATTTTATCGTCTAGTATAGTGTAGTATAGTGTAGTATGGTGTAGTATGGTATACTATAGTAAAGTGAAGTAAAGTATATCTACCTTAGTACAATTCACTATGTAAAGTCTTCAGTACATGCTATAGGACAATACAACGGTATGAAGCTCTAAACTCTAAACCCTCAAAGTGGGAAGACCACTGCAACGCCCGCCCGAATCCCAGAGCCCTCTTAAGCCAAAGACGAAAAGCAACAGCCAAACTCTGACCCTAAACCCAAAACCCCAAACCCCTAAACCCACTAAGCCCGAAACCCCCTAAACCCTAAACCCTTAACCCTTAACCCTTAACCCCAAACCCTAAACCCTAAACCCCAAACCCTAAACCCCAAACCCTAAACCCTAAACCCCAAACCCTAAACCCCAAACCCTAAACCTTAAACCCCAAACCCCAAACCGCCCAAACCAAGCCTTGTAAAATGCTGAGCCCATCCAAAAGAATCGAGGAGCAGAGACCGAAGGGCCGAGAGTATCTGGTGGCCTTCCTGGATCTCGCAGTTTAGGCGTTTCCGAAAAATAGGGGCTCCTTTAAAGGGATCTATGAGGGTTCCTTTAAGGGCTCCTATAAGGGACCTATAGGGTCTGCTGGCCTTCCTGGGTCTCACGATAGGTTTAGGGTTGAGGGATTTAGGGGTTTAGGGGTTCAGGGGTCTAGGGGTTTAGGGGTTCAGGGGTCTAGGGGTTTAGGGGTTTAGGGGTTCACGGATTGGAGTTTAGGGTTTAGGGTTTAGGGGCCAGGGCTTAGGGATTGGTGTATAGATCGGTTCCAGAGGGCTTGAGGCCGGGGCTCAAACCCTACACCCTTAGGTTTTAGGGCTTCAGGGTTTTTTGAAGTTAGGTTGACGGCCTTCTTTGTGCGTCTGCCCGTTTAGGGCTTCAGGCTTTGGTTTGGTGCGTTAAAAGTTTTTTGACTTGAGTGCTACCGGTAGGGGAACCCCGAGAAGCTTCATTGGTTCGTGACATACAGGACACTAATATAGGAGCCTGATGAAGAAACCCGGGGCCTATAACCCCAAAATAGTAGGATTCATATAAGGAACCCTAATAAAGGCCCAGGGTTTCTTAATCAGGTTCCGACACTAACAATGGGCTTAGCGATGTTCAAGTTAGTCGGCTTCGGTGCTTGGGACGCTGGGGTTTAGGGAAGAGGGCTCTTGAAGTTTAGGGTTCAGAGTTTAGGGTTCAGGGCTTAGGGTTTAGGGTTTAGGGTCCAGGGTTTAGGGTTTGGGGTTTAGGGCTTAGGGTTTAGGGCTTAGGGTTTAGGGTTCTTGAAGCTTAGGGTTCAGGGTTTCGCGCTTCAAGGCTTTAGGGCATGGGACGCGCAGCTGATCCCAATGTAGATAAAGGCCGAAAAACCCGAAACTGTCTCATCTTTAGAGCCCTGAACCTAATTGGGAGTTTCCGAAAATTAAGGATACCTCATTTTGGGTGTCCAAATAACAAGGATCCTACTATTTGGGGTACTATATTCGGGGTCCCCAAAATTGCCACTAACCCTATTATCCCTGCGATGATGGTTCTCAAGTACTCTCATTACTGCTGGTACCTGCCTTTATTTGTTCAAAAACAGATCCCCAAACCATGAGCCCTAAACCGTAAGCCCAATCCCTGAACTCTAAGCTCTGTACCCCAATCCTGAAGCCCCAAACAAACGGCTCCTCACGTGAAAAATAGAACTGCTGAAAACACATAGACACACACTCCATTAACACTCTGACACCCTTAAACCTTCCAAACCCTCCTAAAGCCTATAGAGCCCTGTCAAAAAAATGAAGAACACCCAGAAAAAGCAAAAAGACCGGCCATGCAAGTCCCTTGAGCCAAGCTTCTCTCTCGGCTGTGAAATCCCCAGAAGCAAACAGCGGCAAGGCCAGCCCCATCCTCTCGGATCTGGGGTTTCGGGCTTCAGGGCAGGCCCCCTCGGATACTATAGGTGTCTGAATACGCCCATTAAACTATAATTACAATAAGGAACAACAAAAATCAGATATATATAGGTAACTGTTAAGGCCCCTATAGTAGGTGTCTGAATACTGCGTTCTTAATTAGAATCTTGCTCCTTGTTAAGATGATCACAAAGTAAGGGATCTCTACCCATTATAGTTGGTTGCCGGGGGGGGTTTATCACTTCGGGGCTCGAAATCTTTGACCCCAAACAAAAGCCCGAAAACCTTCACCGGCATCCACAAATCCCCAAACCTGAACAAGCCAGGATGATGCTATTTGGCAGGAGTTCTTCGAAGGCCTCGGAACTTACTGTTCGGGGTTTCGTTTGGGCTTTGGGATTTGGGAAGCCTCGGGGTTGGTGTTTCGATCATGTGTCAGTCACTGTGTCAGTGTGTGTGTGTGTATGTCAGACTGAATCTGCTTATCATGTAAGACGTGCCCATGCAGCATAAACCTAAAACAACAACCCCAACCCTAATCTCACGCCAAAGGCCGCGAAAGCTTCACAAAAAATCGACATCCTCATATCCTCATCAAACTTAACGCCCTAAGCACCCCCAAGAATCCGGAGATCCGACAACAAGACCCTAAATCCATTAGCAGGCCGGGGGGAAGGGGTTCTAGTATTTGTGCACAAATATAGGGGAACCCATTATTAATTTTATGCTGAACCCCTTACGGAACAGATTACAAACAGTTCTTTCAAGACCAGGGAGTTGCGGGATTAGGTGTTTGTTCATGTGGGGGATGTGAGGCTGAAAGTTGTGAAGGTCAAAGTTTTCAGAGTTTTGGGTAACCCTGAATCCTAAACCCTAAACCCTAAGCCCTAGAACCCCAAACCCAAAAATCCTAAAACCATAAAACCCCGAAACTCTAAAACCCTGAAACCCTAAAAGCCTAAGACCCTGAAACCCTAAAACCCGAAGACCCTAAGACCCTAAGACCCTGAAACCCTAAAACCCCGAAACCCTAAAACCCCGAAACCCTAAAACCCTGAAACCCTAAAGCCCTGATACCCTAAGACCCTAAAACCCTGAGACCCTAAGACCCTAAGACCCTGAAACCCTAAAACCCCGAAACCCTAAAACCCCTAAACCCTAAAACCCAGAAACCCTGAAACCCTAAAACCCAGAAAGCCCTAAAACCCTGAAACCCTGAAACTCCACAACCATAAATCCCCGAAACTCTAAAACCCCTAAGACCCTAAGACCCTGAAACCCTGAAACCCTAAGACCCTAAAACCCTGAAACCCTAAAGCCCCAAAACCCCAAACCCTAAAACCTAGGAAGCCCAGGCTCCTGACGGTGTCGCCAACCGGCAGCCCGCAGCCTTGGAGCTCGGGCAGACCCTTAAGGACGAAATGAACCCTAAATGGGTTTAAGGTTCATATACCATATAGGGATTCATAGTACATGGGTATAGGGCCCCTACTTTCAAAAGGGTCATTTGGTCCTTCAGGACTTTCTCTCTTCCCCACGAATGAGGGTTGAGGGATTAGGGCAATATAAACACAGGAGAACCTAACACAATCCCCGAAATTCCCCAAACGAAAGCATCCTAAACCCCCTTTCAAGAAAGACACAATAGACCTGAATAAACTGAAACCCTATACACCCGTTTACAGACGCTTCTAAACCTCCAGGGAAGGTCTCCCAAAGCCCCAGTGAGCTCTTACTACGGTTGATGATATAAATCCTGCATTACCTTAAGGACCCTAAACTATGGGAGTTGTGGTATATTCCCTATTATGGGTAATGCAGGATTTATATCATCAACCGTAAAACCCTGAGAAACACTCTAAAGCCCTCCTTAAGACGCTTCCAAATCCCAAGTTAGGGAGCCTAAACCCTAAACCCTGAACCCTCAACCCCTAAAACCCTAATCCCTTAAACCCCTAAAACCCTAATCCCTTAAACCCCTAAAACCCTAATCCCCCTAAAACCCTAATCCCTCAAACCCCTCAAGCCCTGTGTAATCCCTTACCTGGATCCAAAAGTATGTAGAATAATGGCCTTTTTGTGGTTTGGGGCCATTATTTTGCCTACTTTTGGGGGTCTCTGTAAACCCTAAACCCTAAACCCCTAAACCCCCTAGAACCCTAAACCCTAAACTCCTAAACCCCTAAACCCCTAAACCCTAAACCCCTAAACCCCAGAGGGTTTGGGGGTCTCCGCGTCCCAGCGGCACAGGCAGCCCGCGGCGCCCGGCGAAGGCAGAGGCGAACCGCCAAGGTGAAGTTCGAACCAGTTTTCCTTGGGAGCTTAGGGTTTTGGGTTTAAGGTTTAAGGTTTAGGGCTTAGGGTTTTAGGGTTTCGGGTGTAGGGTTTAAGGTTTAGGGTTTAGGGTTTTAGGGCTTAGGGTTAAAGGGTTTAAGGTTTAGGGCTTTAGGGTTTGAGGGCTTTAGGGTTTTAGGGTTTAGGGTTTAAGGTTTAGGGTTTAGGCTTGCAAAAAGCTTGCATAGGGCTTTTAGTTTGCCTGTGGCTTGCATGGTTTACGGGTTTCCGGATATACGGTTTAGGGTTTAGGGCCTTGGGGTTTAGAGTTTGGGGTTTACGGTTTGAAGGTTTGGGGGTGTAAGGTTTTACGGTTAAGGGCTTGGGTCTGATGATTTTGTGTCAAACATGGTGGTACAAGTGCTTAAAGGTTTTTATAAGCTGCTGTCGGTGTTTTCAATAGGCTTCATAAAGGCACCATAGCGGCTAGTAACAGGTCAGTAAGGCTTCTTCTGAGGTTTTGGATGTTGCTTGGGTTGTCCTGGTACTGTTGGTAGTAGGAAGTAGATTAGTACGATCAGAACTAGAACTACGACGCTTACCATGATGATTTCGAGGATAAGACTATCAGCGCTGCAGCCAAGCTCAGCTTTGCGCTGAGCCACAAGTAAGCTGAAACCCTAAGCCAAACGAACTACAACCTAAATGACAGAATCACCAACCTAACCGCAATCCCGCAACCCTACGTGCCGAAATCACCAACTGTTCGAGTTCGACGGTTGTCATGGGAAGTTGATGTACCAAGAAACGACAAAGAAACGAAATGAATAGTCTGAAACCGTATACCCCTAAGCCTTAGGCCGACATGCTCTGCCTCGACTTCAAACGAAGTTTCGTCGGCTGGGATAGCCGGGTCAGTCGAACACGACGGCGTCAAGGTGCCGTTGCCTTCCGCTTCGCAGGCTTATTGTAGGAACCCGAAGATCAACCCAGTCTTGAGTGGTTTAGGGTTTAGGGTTTAGAGGTGTGATTCCTACAGCCTGGAATGCTTTCGGAATCTAGTGCTGATATCCCGCCTGGTCCCTCCATAAACGAAGATGCCCCAAAGCCCTGTGCAGATTATTCAGGCCGCTATATCAAAAGTTGTCATGACACCAGCGAAGAGATACGTTACACCACCGCAGATCCCCCAAGCACACATACATGTGAACCTGTGCATGGAACACCGACGTCGTGAATCTGCCGCGAAACAACAAAGAATATGGGGGGGAACCCTACACCCTCAACCCTTCCTATCCACAACTCCCTAAATCCCAGTGGAAACCGGTGTGCTTAGGGCTTAGGGTTTGAGCTACTTGCAGGAGCACATGCACTGTGGCTGCCAAAAATCTAAGCGTAATCTACGGCCCGTAAAAGTTCACGAGAGTTTTTTGGGCTAATATAGTCTAGTACAAAGCATAAAAACAGGAGCCCGAACAAGAACTAGCATTCATATCAATTCACATCTCTGGGCTTGTCTTCTCGCTCTGCTGCCCTGCCAATCGACAGAGCTCTAAGCCAAAGTCCTAAACGAATTGAAGCCCTCGAGCTAAAAAAACTCCACCTCCCGACCTCCAGCCTGAAACAAACCCAAGCCCTTCTCCCCTCAACTCCATGGTTAGAAGGGGCCCCCACCCTGTAATAGTGACTACAAGGATTATATTCGGGCCCTATTATATTCCGATCACACCGCTATTACAAGGTGCCTTCTAATATAGGGGCCTTAATGGGGGGTCCGTCATTATGATTAAAGTATAATATACCCCAAAATCATTATTCTAATTATCAAGGCCCCTCAAGTAAATCAACTAGACGTGAAGCCATAAAGATTCAATTCGATAACCCTAGAAGCTCCGCAAGCCCGAAACCCTAACATAGGGGCCCAGATGATTACCAATACGACTTTGGGGTTTGGGGTTTAGGGGTTCCTAAGTCTAGTTACAGTATAATGGCCCCGAAAGCATATTCTAACTATGAAGGCCCCTCCTTTGACCACGATTCGACCAAGATGCATACCGGTGTCTCTCCCACCTCACAGCCCAGGAAGTCTTGGCATCTTTGGCAGCCTCGCAAAACCCTGATCTATGAAGGGGTCTACAGGGTGTTGTGTTTGGGGTTTAATGCTTTTTTTGAAGAGCCTCTTTATCGACCTGGAGTTTATGGTTTAGCGCCTTTAGGGTTCAGGGGGCTGATTTCAAGGGCCTAAATGATTACTGGGGAGTGCTCCTTATTACAAATTATAGATGATGGGCCTGAAAGCCCTATTTTAAGTAAAAATTTAGGCCCCTATATTCTCGAACCCTACTATAGATCCCATATTTACAGTGCCCTCTAAGGACCCCTTTAAACGGTAACCCTATTCGAATTCTTTGAGGCCCCTGTTTTCAAGAGCCCTACTATAGATCCCTTATGGAGCCCTTTGAAGACCCCTTCAAAAGGTAACCCCTCTTCGAATTGTTTACTGCACCTATATCCTAGAACCGTACTATAGATCCCTTTTGGAGCCCTTTGAAGACCCCATTAAAAGGCCCCATTCAAATTTTTTCGGCCACTATACCCTGGAACCCTACTATAGGTCCTTTATCGGGCCCTTTAGAGACCCCTTTAATTTAAAAGGTAGCCCCTCTTCGAATTATCAAGGCCCCTATATCCTGGAACCCTATAGTATTATCGATCCCTTATAGGGCCCTTTCAGGGGTCGAATTATTAACTAAGGCCCCTATATGGGGGTTTCCGATTGTAGGGGACCCCAATGTAGTACCCTAGATAGCAGGATCCTTTTTTAGAACACCCAAATAAGGTACCCCTCATGTCCGGAAAAAAAAACCCTAAACCCTATGAACCCTAAACCCTTAACCCTAGAACCCCTAAACCCTATAAACCCTAAACCCTATACCCTAAACCCTATAAACCCTAAACCCTAAACCCTAAACCCTATAAACCCTAAACCCTAATTCCTGCAACCAAGCTGCCCTGCCTGTCTGTAGACGGCCCTCTCAGACGCACTTTTTACTTGGAGCTGCGCCAATCGAGTTGATAAGAAGTCAAAAGGCTGATGGTAGGCTTCAGCTAGCAACAGCCACCTCAAACAAAAGCCGCCTTCTTGGCCAAAAAGGCACCACACTCAATCGCCTGGGGCCCTTCAGACTGGATCCCGAAGCCACCTTCAAGGATGCCTCCCTCGGGAAACACGTGGGCACCAGCGATGAACAGCTCATAGTTAGATCCTGGCTTCGGCGGTGGGGATGGTGGAGGAGAAACTTGAGAGGAGTGCAGCCACACAGGTCCCGGCAGATCGTTCCGTGCAGGTCACTGCTCTCCTGTCGGACGCTGTTTCAGGAATAGCCCAATTCATTCCTGCAACCAAGCTGCCCTGCCTGTCTGTAGACGGCCCTCTCAGACGCACTTTTTACTTGGAGCTGCGCCAATCGAGTTGATAAGAAGTCAAAAGGCTGATGGTAGGCTTCAGCTAGCAACAGCCACCTCAAACAAAAGCCGCCTTCTTGGCCAAAAAGGCACCACACTCAATCGCCTGGGGCCCTTCAGACTGGATCCCGAAGCCACCTTCAAGGATGCCTCCCTCGGGAAACACGTGGGCACCAGCGATGAACAGCTCATAGTTAGATCCTGGCTTCCCCCCCACCCCCCCCCACCTGCTGCTGGCGAAGGTTGAGGGTGAGGAGCAGGAGCATCAGCAAGTCGACCGGGCGGGTCGGGTGGGCGACCACCACCTGCTGCTGCGCAGGAGGTGTGGCCACAGCGTCAGACTGCGGCAGCGACGCCACAGGTTTGCTCTCGCCACCCAGGTAAAGGTTCAGGTACTCCACGACCTGATCCTCCATCTCAGTCGCTGCCTGCAAAGTCTGAGACAGGAGTTCCTGGATCAGATTCGACATGAGGCTAAACATGGCCTTGCCCAACAGTCTGAGGATCAAAGTGGCGAACTTGGCGATGATGCGAGGGAACACCAAGACACACACCAGCAGCAAGACCGTCCACACACTAAGACGCGGCAACCAGGCTCGCCACGAGGTTGGTTCTGCAGGTGTGCCGTCGCGCGAAGCAGGGCGAAGTGGCCGAGGCCGGACAGGGGCAGGCGGCCCCCCGCTCAACTCACGAGTTGGCCTTGCCTCGCCCGGGCTAGGACGGCCGTTAAACGGCGAGCACTGCTTCCCGCACGCCACCTGGCAGCCGCTGCCCGCGCCTGCGGGTCCTCCAACACTTGTGTTGCCGTCAAGCCGCCATCCAAAGGCTGCTTGATTTGCCCAGCCAGCGACTGCAGCGCCTCAGCTGCAGCAGAAGCGGTGCCTTCTGTCGCTTCCTCAGCCTCCCCCGCTCCCTCACGACGCCTTACATTGGAATTGGGCGGTGCTCTGGCATCTGAACGTCGGGGTAAACGGACTTCCACAGCTTCAGCGCTTCGTCTTTGCTCTGCACTCGCCTGAGGCGGGTACGAGAGCCTGAGAGTTGGCCTTGAGGGAGCTGCCTTTCGATCATCTTCCATCTGTCTGCGCCCGGCCCAGACCAATGGCCGAGCAGGTGCGGTCGCTCCGGCGACTCCAACACTATGTAGTGCCGGAGGTCCCGTCGGTAAGCTACTGAAGACCCACACACCGGAGGCGTAGCGGTTTCTCGGTCACTGAGGACTGAGTCGCGCGAGACGCGCCCGTTGAGCTCACCAAGTGCTGCTTCACTGCGCCCAGGCAACGACACCCGAGACCACGACGAGGTAGCTCCAGCGGTCCTGGTGGACGACGACGAAGGAGAGCTCGGACCTTCCTGTTCTGCTTCTTCAAGTGCAGCCGCAAGTTCCCGAAGAGCCCGCGATAAGCGAGACATCTAACCCACGACAGTGCGACGAGGCTTAGGAGGCGGAGAGCCCAAATAGCCGCAGTAATCATACACTTCAGCAAGCTTGTCCTTAGCAGAGCCGGGAGCCTGGGCCAACGTGTGAATGGCCAGGGCATCTTGCAAATAATGCCGTAATGTTTCCGTCCTCCGCCATCGCCCCGCAAACTGCAAGAGGCCTAGGTTTTGTTGTGTGCGAAAGTGGTGGCAGGCGCCGCCTCCCCGCAGTGACCCTAGCGTCAAATGACAGGTCTCCAAATCCAAAGCATTGAGGGCCTCACGTAGTCGCTCCGACCACTTCCGGCGTCCCACCTGCAAGAAGCGAAGCGAAGGTTTTTGATCCTGCGCCCACCATCGTAACCAGGACACCAGAGCCCGATCATGTATGAGGATGAATTGGTTCGCCCATACTCTCCGCGTCTTAGCTTGACGTATGTTAACGACCAGCCCCACATTCTCACAAAGCTCTGCCACTTCTGGAAAACAAAAGTCGGAGAATTTGAGGTTATCTACCTCGCCAGGCCGGAGCATTCCCGCAAACGCTAGCCAGATCCCCAACATAGTTGAAAACCATTCCGCTTTCGCCGAACCGCTGGATTGATTCGCAAAGGCCAGGCAGACGACAAGGACACATTGCATCACATAATGGGTCATTGGCACCCGCGGCTTGATTGGTTGCAACATCCGCCACGCTCGAAGGTTTGACCAGGTGTTCCTCAACAAAGGCCCGGACAGTCGAAGCTCCTTTTGAATGCTCAGCACTGCCAGGGTAGCCCAGTACAACTTTTCACCACCTTGGAAAGCCGCCTCAACCGCTCGCTCCAACCACGCATCCACATACCTTGACGATGACTTCTTTGTAATACATCCCCCCAGCGAGACTACCAGACCAAGCATCCAGCACCCTGCTTCCCGGAGATGGCGCCGATATTCCGGAGTCAAGGTAGTGTCACGCAGACGCCCAGGACGGGTTCCACGAGAGGGCGGCATCGGCAAGGAGATCGCAAAAGACTTTTGGGTAGGTCACCAAGGCACCATTTCGGGGCTGAGGATTCGGTGCGTGTTGGCACGGACACTGCGGGCTTACTGAACTCAACCACGGCGCATTGGACAACACAACAGACTGCTCGAGTTCCCCCTCCTCACGGCTTCCCGGGTCGACATAAAGGTTCCAATCGACAATATATCTGCGGATCCCCTCGTGCTTCGACATGAAAAGCTGCGTATCCCGGCCTCGAAGTGCCCCCCCTTTCCGCGGGTGCTCGATGAACACGTAGCCATTACCTTCAAGCATGATTGCCGCCAGACCTAGCACCTCACTCCAAATCCGAGGACCACAACCCTTAGGAGGAGCCAACCACAACCACGTGATCACCCCCTCCTCGATGGCTTCGGCAACCCAAGAATGCCAGCCTAGTGTTGTCCGGAGTAGGCTTGCCTCGTGCCCGACATCAACCGGGTCCCACATCATCAGACCTTTGTCACGATGGGCTTCCGTGAAGTACTCTGAACCGAAAATCTGCACACCACTTCCTGCCCTTAAGCGCCTAACCCCAAAACGTGACATCCAGCGAGGCGGAGGCTTTGGAGGCGGCAGCGACCTGAAGCGGGATGGGTGGTCGCCCAAGTTGGACTCGGTTTCCACCCACAGGAGCGCCAACACTATGTCGGCGAAGATGAGATACGGAAGCTGAGCCCTTAGCAAACCATTCAACTTGTAGGAGCTTGAGCGCCCCTTGGCAACCGCTCCCACGATCACGCGGCTGTCATTGAGGCACACCTGCACATGGCCGGCGTTCCGTAGGGCGCTGGCCATACGAGCAATTTCCCGGCGAAGTGCTCGACCCTCCTGCAAGTTTATGTGACTGGTACTGCGGAAAGAATAAGAAGCAGTCACCGTCCATTGCAAACACTCCGAAATCGCACTGGCAAAAGTGGACACCGCGATCGGCTCCTCCGCCTTCCACGTGAAAGCCTCCGCACGATCTAGCCGTACTGGAGCCCCCCTTATTTCAGACCGGCGCCACAACTCCTCGTTCAGCTCTGGAGCAACTCGGGCCCTCACAGCGCCCCCTGAGGTAGGAGTCGCATCAGTAGCCAGCACCGAAGGATGCAAACTTCGACGCATATTCCACCTGGCAAAAGGGAGATGCAAGGCAACACTCCGGAGCTCGTCAACGATGTGATTCGGGAGTCGGCACCACTTCTTCTCGGGCAGCTTCGCCACAAAATTGTAAACCCTGTGGTGCAAGCAGAACAACTCTCGCCTAAACTGAAAAGCGAAAGCCAGGAAACCGAGCACCTTCTGCATGATCTCCTTCGTAGCCCAGCCTGTCGCAACAAGACGCTCCAACAACCTCCACACTTGCTGGCGCACCGACAACGGTGAAGCGATCGTGCCTTGGACACCGTCAATCTCGGCACCCCAAGCCTTGAACTTCGTCAACGCACGAAACGATTTGTGCAAAGCCCTCTGCAACCCCGCGGCATCATAAGCACCCTCTGCCTTCGACACCTCCTGCATGTCCGCATCTTCAGCCGAAGCCTCAGGCGGGTCGAACGTGCCATCGAGCGGGACTGCGGCTCCAACGGTCATGCGCTGCACAACGAGCAAGTCATCTAGATAAACCCCCTGCCACAAATCCCCACGAGGAGCACTCTGACCATAGCGCAAGGTTGTCTCAGGGTCCAACCCACCGTGTTTCCGTAGGATCCCCTCGTGCGTCGCCTGCGCGATTGCACACCCGTTGCGATCACCCATTCCCAATACCCGAAGACATAGGCGATGGTGAATGCGAGGATCAAGCCCTTGTTCTTCTACGACACGAGCATCAACCCTGCGGCCAACAGGATTAAACCTCTCCCAGCCTTCAGGAAGTCGCAGGTTGTAGTAGAAGTTCCGCAGATCATCACCTGAGCCGCGAAGGTATTGGTTTGGTTGCAAAAGAAGACGAGTGAAGCATGCCGCGCTAGGTAGAGTAGCCCAGTCCAAATAAGGCATAGTGGAGTTCTCGGGGCGGCGGTCATATATTAGTCTGTCTTCATGCTCATTCTTCGCCACGGCAAACAAACCACCTACCAACATCCGACCATGACGACGACGAGGCAAAGCGTCTTCTGGGACCAGCACAGCCATCTTCGTCTCGAGCAGCTTTCGAGCCAAATCAGCCTCCTCGGCCTGGGGCACCCGATGACAGGCAAGGGGAGCTTCGTCCCAAAGATGCTCGGGCAACCGAATCGACTCAAGGTCCCGGAAAACAGCTGCTCTATCCTCTGGTAGCCAGTCTCCTGGATCAACACCTCCCGCTGAGTTGGGCACCGCGATGCGGTCAGCCGTCACGGCCAAGGCGGGCGACGATGTCGAGGCGGGGGCCTGAACACCATCAAAGTAGCTTGCACCTGCACTTTCCTGGACTTGCGCGAGGAGATCCTCTACAGTCGCCCTCTTACCTTCACAAGCAAGACGACCCAAAACCAAGTCCGAGGCAGCAAATTCCTCCATCTCACCAAGCAACCTGTCGGCGAAGGCCCGCGCCTCCGTGCAACTCCGATAGGCCACTCGTGGCTCGTATGCGCTACCACCCCAACGAGGACAACCCAGAACCACAAAGTTAGAACAGCGACGTGTTCATCAACGACTTGGCCCACCACACTCTGGCCTCATCCTCACCCTTCACACCCGCCGCCGAGAGGGTCTCCGGGTAGGGCAGCGCACACGGAAAAAGTGATATTGAATCGCCAGACCGCTCCAGCAAAGAACCTTGGGCGCCTTCGAACCAAGTAAGATACTTCATAAAATCAGAATTCCGTCCTAAAAGGGCCGGGTGCCTAAGACAGCCTAGCCCAGCATGCAGATTTCCAGGGACCGTCACTTCCGAGAAGAACCCTGTCCGGGCTCGTCCTCGTCGTCGCCTTCTTTTCCGTGAGCTTCGCGAACCTTCTTTTTGAGCCGAGCCATGGCATCGACGTACCCCGAGACAATGGTCATCTCCTGCTTGTTGCCGGCCCACTCCTTCTTCTGGACCGGGTCGACCAATCCAGTCAATAGCCATGCCGTCGTCCAGTCGCCCTGCTCGATGACCGCCTGCATCTTCGCCTTCAAGTTCTGGATTGTCTGAGCTGCGGCCGCTTCGGGGCGACCATTGCGGATCAATTCGTAAGTCGCCACGTCCATCATGGCGCACCTGAATAGTCCTTTGTAGCGGCCCCAGCTTTGCCTCTTCACGTAATCCCGAAGTGTCCAGCTCTGCCCTGGTACCACTCCCAGCTCCTCCACGACCTCCTTCTCGAAAGCCGCGATCACCCGCCTCGGCTTTTTCAAGATCTGCTCGTGGAAGCGGTGCAAAGTATGAACGGCCTTCATTCCCTTGGGATCCAAGCCATCCTCTTCGCTTCCGGACTCGTCGGAGGAAGAGCCACCAAGGAGGGCCTCGGACCTTTTTCGAGACCGTCGCCCCTTCTTGTCCTTCTCCAACATCTGGGCCATGAGCATCATGGGTAACAGACTGGCCGGGTCCGCGCCACTTGCAACCGCCTTTGCCATCATCTTCTTCACGTCGAAGGCCTCCTCTGATCCCCGAGCCTCGGCCTTTTTCGCCTTCCGGGCGCTGCCACCGGGCGGAAGAAAACCCTTCTGAAGGGGAACCTTTCCCAACTCGTCGTCCTCGGCCTCCTCGTCTTCCTCCGATCCATCGCGGCCAATCCCTTCAAGTGAGGGGTCAGCTTGGACTTCCTGGCAGAAGAACCCTGTGCCACATTTCCCGATCCGCTGGCTACTTCCTCTGATCGTCTTCTCGGCTGTTCGGCTTCGCTGCTGGTCAGGTCTGAGGCACTCAGCTTCTTCCATCCCGCTTCAATGATCCGCCAACCCGGCACGTCACTCAAGCGAGGTCCTGTCCAATCCTTCGGCCTATCAAGAACCAAAGCCGAAATGGGAGCCCTCACGAATCCCAAGGAATGTCCACCCTCCTTGCACTGCAGCTTATGCTCTAAGGTCTTCACGGAATCTGCAATGGTACCAACTACGGCGTCTGTCCCCGGCAGCTCCACAATCCAGCCCGTCACACCAACATGGCCATCGGCTGTGCTACAGCTCAAAAAGGCTACGTCTCCTAAGACAGCCATCCCTAGAAACTTGAGAGGAGTGCAGCCACACAGGTCCCGGCAGATCGTTCCGTGCAGGTCACTGCTCTCCTGTCGGACGCTGTTTCAGGAATAGCCCAATTCAACCCTATCAACCCTATAAACCCTAAACCCTATCAACCCTGTAAACCCTAAACCCTATTAGCTAAGCCTTCTGAGCCCCGTCGAAACCCCTCGGCCGGGGCCTGGCAAAGGCTTCGGGCATTCTGCAGTGCCACCGTGAGAGAAGCCCACCCTGGGCGTACTTTTGGGGTGCCTTACAGATTAGAGCAGGGTTCCCTTTAAAGGGCTCCTTGGCTCCTTAAGGCATCCATAGTAGGGTTCTAGAATATAGGGGCCTTAATGCTTAGAGTAACGTCAGGAATAATAGTGGTACTGATTTAGGCTTCTATCGTATCTCGTTCCAGACCAAAAAACGATACCCCTAAAACCACAAGAACGCTGAGAGAACCCTTAAGACAGGACGCTAAACCACAAACCCTGAATCCTAAAAAAAAACCTGAGCCCGAAAAACACTAAACCCCTAAGCCCTAAACCCCTAAAACCCTAAACCCAAACCCTAAAACCCTACACCCCTAAAGCCCCAAACCCTAAGCCCTAAACCCCAAACTCCCTAAGCCCTAAACCCCTAAAACCCTAAGGAACTCCTTACCTGCAGCTGCGGCGCGTCCCCGAAACAGCTGCCTTGGGTCGCGTGGCCAAGGACGCGGCCAAAGTGAGGTCGAAAGGAAGCCTTTGGGGTGTGTAGGGCTTTAGGGTTTAGGGCTTTGGGGTTTGGGGTTGAAAGGAAGCCAGGGAAGCCTTTGGGGGGCTTAGGGCTTTAGGGTTTAGGGTTTGAGGTCGAAAGGAAGCCTCGGGGGTGTGGGGCTTTAGGGTTTAAGGCTTCAGTTTGAGGGTTGAAAGGAAGCCTCGTCAACACCAGCTGTTCTTCATAATCGGCTCTTTTTCTGTCAGAAATGCCCATAGAGCAGGGCCTCCTGGCCAACCCTTACACCAGGGTATAGGGGGCTTTCAGGAATACGGGTTGTGGTGGATTTCTTGCTTCAAGCTCCAAATTAAGGGCTTGAGGGGTGTTTGGTGCAATCTCTGCAGTTCCCTGGGAGAGCGGTAGCCAGATTTCTCTTCGGAAGCCCAAAGGGAGTTTCCGAAAATTAGGGGGGTACCATATTTTGAGGTCCTTATAATAAGCGTGCTACTCTTTAGGGTACTATATTTGGACCCCCTGTTTTCGGAAACACCCCAAATGATGCGATGTTGAAGGCTGTGGATGCGAAGGTCCTTTGAAGCTTTGGGGTGCTGACTACATGGCGGCGGTGTTGTGAATGAGGGGTACAGTTTCTGGCTTGCGGTTTGGACAAGGGAATAGTGTTATGAAGGGTTTAGGATTCGGTCTCAGCTTCGAGAAGGTGGTGATGCTAGGACAGGCAAGACTTCTAAACCTTACGCCTCGAACCCCCAAGGCCCACTCAGCCCAGCCACAAGCCCATGACCGCGATGCTCTCTTGCACCCCTGTGCCGAAGTACGGGGAGGAGACAAAGGAGAACGTCATGGGCCTCAGGCGAAAGGGTCTGAGGCTGGCAGGGTGGAGAGTTCATGCTTTCGGCTTCAGGGCTTATGTGTCCGGGGTCTAGGTATTTGGGCTTTAGGAGGAGCGGTGCTCGAAGAGTTTGAGGTTCAGGCGTTGCGTTAGTTTCCGAACTGCAAGGATGTGCTCCCACTTATATACATGTACCGATATGCCAGATTCTGCACATGCAGCTGGTAGCCTTAATCTGTGGGTTTGGGGGTTCTCAGATTCGGTTTGGGGCATCTGGCTTGTCTGTGGCTCCAACATCTCCAACCTGACCGAAACTCTTTACCCAAGTCAAGCGTCCCATGTTGGTGGCAGAAGTGGCTGGTATTGTCACAGGATGTCGAGATAGCGCAGGCGTATCCTCTTCGAAGGCTCTGTGTTTCTGGCTCTTGGGGCCGTGAGGGCTTGGGGCCCTTCAGGGTTTGGGCTTTAGGGTGTAGGGTGAAAGTCTAAGGGCTTGCTTTAGGTTTAGGGTTAGGGGCTTGGGGGCTTTAGAGTTTAAGGCTCAGGCTTTGGGGTTGAGGGTTTGGACTTCAGGACTTTGCGGGACTTCAGAGTGTGAGAGCTTGGGGTTTAGCAGGGCTTTGTCTTTGCCACTGCCAGAGTCGCCCAACGGCCCCCTTCCCTAAACCCTAAACCAGAAACCCCTAAACCCTAAACCCCTGAATGGAGCATGCCCTGCTTGGTTCAGTTCCGAAGAGTCGATGCCTATAATTAGGGGTACCTTCTTTTTGGGGGTCCTTATGAAAAAATCCTACTATTTAGGATAAAAAAAATTTGGGACCCCCTATTTTCGGAAACTCCCACAATTTTTAGTTGCCTACCTACCAAGGTCGCCAGCTGGCTAACGAGCTATGAATGCAAGTATATCTGCGTATGTCTACGTACATGCGTCTGAATATGTATGCGGGTGTATGTATATATATACATATATTTATTTATTTGTAAGTGTGTATATGAATGTGTATGTGCATGCATACATACACTCTAGAGAACTAACCTGTAGACTTTAGACCTAAATGGGCTGAGTACCCTAGCCCAATAAAGGCTTAATCTTGTCAATTATGGTAGGATCATATAAACCCCGAAAGGTTAAAGGTTGCCTACGCAGCTACTAAGCTTCCATATGCGAATACCCTATAGAAACCCTTACGGATCCCTTTAAGGACACCCGAAAAGGCTCCCAGCTACTAAGAACCTTCCTACTTGTCGGGTATCATGGGGAATTAAAGGTGAACCGTTTTGGTTATATGGGAATTAGATAGGTTCGGTACTATACTACCCCAAGAAGGTTAAAGGTTACCTACTCTACTACTAGGTTTGGGCTTTAGGGAAGACTACGTAACACTACCCCAATTAGGTTAAAGCTTACCTACTCTACTACTTGGTTTTAGAATACACAGAACCTCCGAAAACAACCAGTGCCAGGTCGCCTGCAATGCAATTGCCGGAGCCATCCTCGGCTTTACGTACTTTTGGTTAGTAGGGAATGGAAGACTGGCAGGTAGTAGTAGTAGTTATAATTGTACCCTATTCCTCCATTCCCTACTAACCCAAGGTAAGTTTTATGGGCTGCACTCAAAAGGATTCATGGTTTGGGTTCGGGGGCAGTTTAGGGTTGTTAGGGTTTAGGCTTAGGGTTTAGGTTTTTAGGGTTGTGTTCAGCCTTTTTGTCTGTCTTGGGTTTGCCTTTTGTGGGTGAATCGGCGATGATTTTGGGGGATTGGGCCTACAAGTTCTGTAGGGGACTGACAGGGGTTCGATGAGGGTTGCAGAGCTCTTCGGGTTCAGAGTTTAGAATTTAAGGCTCCTCATTTCACTCATTGTGTACCATACCCCCAGGGTTTAGGGCTCCTCATTTCACTCAGTGTGTACCATACCCCAAAACCCTATTCAAATTACTGAGGCCCTTACATGACAGAACCTACTATAGATCACTTAAGATCCCTTTTCAGGACCCTTCAACTTATTGAGGCCCCTACATGGGTCTGCTCCCGGAATGATTTCTTTGTGAGCTGATCTTGCATGCGAGGTTGGGCATGGAATTTCGGGTTTACGCGCTTTGAGCTGGAGTCTGGGCTTAGCGCCAAAACGTCCGGCTAAAAAGACTACCCTAAGTCACAAAACTCCTCTTCGAGTGTTGGGGTGGAGGGCCATGTGGATCTGTGCTGCTGTCGTGGGTGCAGATTCGGGCTTGATGCTGCCGGCGCTTTAAGCGTAATCCTATTCGCGATATTGATATTGCGTCTTTAGAGCTGGATTTTAAGGTGCGGAGTTCAGGGTGCCTACAGAAACCCCATGTCCCTAAACCCTGAACTCATTCTTTCCAAGCGTCCAGCACGACCAGGTGCATGGATGAGGACGAAACCTTCCAGCGGGCTGTGGAAGTATGCGAGCTTGGAGGGATAAGGGTTAAGGGTGAAGGTTCAGGGTTCAGGCAAATTTGGATTCTATTGTACGTGTAGAAGTGACAAAGTTGGTGCTCATATTAAGATCCTACAATTTCAGGTTCATGGGGCTTAATATTGATTGTTCCTGGGTCGCAGTACTGCTATCTAAGGGCTCTGCATCTACATACCGACACGCCAGAATTTATTTTCTGGCACGACCCCATGAAATTCAGATTTGTGTTTATATTGGCACCCGAAAAATCAATGGCTTTCCATGATCAAACACTGCGCCCATGGCGGCATATTACGCAGCACCGACATCTCACCTTTTCTGTTCTTTCGAGAGTGGAAACTGTGAAAGAGCACTCAGGAACGAACCAGTCCAAGCACGAGGAAAGGGTGAAGAAGCACTCAAAAGCCAACCACTTCAAGGAAACGTCATCCAAACGTCCGCCCCCCTTGGGGAATTCTGGGATGATTTTGCTCTTTACTTTCGACTGCGCTTCGGCATCTTCATGCCGCTTAATCAAATCTTCAACACGCACTTCCCCTGAGCTTCTTGGATCAAACTTTCGCGAGACGCAGACACTTAGTAATGCGCAGGTCCGGAGCCTTTTGCGCGGGTTCGAACAGAAACGCTCAGAAAGCTGTGCTGCAAATGCCCAAATATCAAGCCCACACCTCGTCAGTAGTCAAGCGGTCGTCCAGTAAACTCTAAATTCTCGAACTCCCAAATGCCACAACCTCCAAATCTAAATCCTGACCGTTCCCTTCACGGGTTCCCTCCGAATGTGTTTTTCTAGCCATTGCAGCCAAGCGGGCCATGTCTACTTGCACGTCTGCATAGCCAGCTGGAACCTCTCCTAGCTCCTGCTTCAGCACTTGATGGCAAATCCTAAGGCTTGGAGTTGAGGGCTTTGAGTTTGAGTTTAGGGTTTAGGGCTTGGGGTTTAGGGCTTAGGGTTTAGGGTTTCGTACCGTACACCCTGGGCTCCTGAACTATAAAGGATAAAGCCCCAAACCCCTGTATCCTAAAATGCTAAAGCCCTAAAGCCCAATCCCTGACAGACAGGAAACCCCTAACAAACGTGAGTAGACCCGTACGGTCCGTATATACGGATAAAATAACCTGACCCCTGGACCCTAAACCCTAACTAAACCCTAAGCCCCAAGCCCTGAACCCGAAACCCTAAACCCGAAGCCCTGAACGGCTACGTAATCCAGCAGCTTCTGCCGAATGGGTCACGCTCTAGTTACGTCCGCCTTAGCTGACCAACAAACTACCGTCATCCGTCGCCCGGCCGGTTCCTGCATGCTCGATCCTGCCCTGCACTCGCCGGCCACAATCTTCCTCAAGGCTTTAAGCCGAGTCCACAGCTCCGCGACGTTGCTATCCTTCAGCAAGGCGTCCATGCTCTTCTGCCACTCCACCAGGCAGTGCTGAACCTTTTCGTTGAATGACTGAAACTTCGCCAAGAGCTTCGAAGCCTTCTTCTGGCCCTCGCTAGGAAGCACTTCGTTGAGGAATTCCTGTAGCTCTTCGCGCATCGTCTTCTTGGCCTGCTTCCAATTTCCAATTGGTGGCCTCGGCCTGCGTGCCCTTTTCACCCTCCGAGAAAAAAACTGGGCCTTGCCATAATGGCGTGGGCTTCAGGGGTTGCAGATCTTGGGCAGCTTTCCCGGATCTTCCAATTTCCGGAAAACAGGAACTTTCACCATTCAGACCTACATATTCTACACCTCTACAGTCTGATGTAGGGGCCTTTAATATTTAGAACAAGGTTTCGGGCTCCTGTATAATATGGCTGTAATGGGGAACCCTAGAGAAAAATATGTTGGTAAGTAGGTAGGCTTCTACCGTCTACTCCAAGAACGGCCCGGGGTGACACTCCTTCCATGTCGTGTTCGTCACATCCAGGCGGAAGGTGCCACTCCTGTTCGTGGGTCGGATACTGCTAAGGTTTAGGGATTAGTGTTTAGGTTGAGGGATTTAGGGGTTTAGGGGTTAGGGGTTTAGGGGTTTAGAATTCACACTGTAGGGGCTGAGTATCCTAGCCCAAACAAGGTTAACCGTTTCAATTGTGGTAGGGTTACATAAACCCCAACAGGTTAAAGGCTACCTACTCAGCTACTAAGACACACATAAATACCCAAACCCTCAGCACTAAAAGAATTAAAGTCTTCCGCTGTAAGATCGAAGCACTCGACCCTCAATCCCTTTCGATTCACATGAGGGTTTCCGAAAAAAGGGGACCCTAATAGTAGGATCTCTGGTATAAGGACCCCAAAATAAGGTACCCCTCGACCGTGAATCCCCAAACTCCACCAGCACTGGCAGGTCTGCGAAGGGATGTCGATGCAGGTCAGGTGTTGAAGGCTTTGTGACTTTGCTTTAGCCTATGTTTCTGCTTTACTCTACAACACAATCACAACTCTAAACCCGGAATCCTAAGCGGTTGCGGATTTGGAGTTGTGGCTTTGGGATTTGCGGAGTTGAAGGCTCTCGGTTTGGGGTGAGGTCAGTTGGAGTCTAGGGATGTCGAGTGAATTCAGAGCTTGGGGATATGTGAACGGAAGGGCTTAGGGTTTAGGATTTGGGAGTTTCAGACAACAAGAGCCCCCAGCATACAAGGATCCCATGTTAGTTACAATCTGGTTGAGAAAACCCACTTAAGGGAAACCCTCCTTTAAACCCGAAACATCGAACCCTAAACCTTAAACCCTGAATCCTACGCATGAACCGAGCGACTTAAAATTAATACCCTACCTACTACTCGCACTTTCTGAAGCCCCGCGAGCGACAAAAGCCTGAGAACACACAAAATGAAAACTGCAAACCCGAAAAGAGATGCCCCTAAAAGCCCGATGCCATGACCGTGCTAACCCCAAAAACCCTATCCCCAACAGAATCCCTGAAAAGTACTCTCAACCTCGGGGTCCCTCCATATTAAGCATCAGGGCACACCTTTGCCTGTTATTACGGTTTAGGGTTCAGGGTTTAGGGTTCAGGGTTCAGGGTTTAGGGTTTCGGGTTCCCAGACAAAAAACGAGCAAAGGGCCGTAAGCCGTAAGGGTACCAGCGGAGAACCGACAAAGGCGCCCTGGCCCTCTTGTGGTTGGTTCAACCGGTTCAACAGAAACCCTGTAAAAAAAAAAGAAAACAATGACAAACTCCAAAGACTCTGTAAAACCGTAAAACACCTAAAACCTGAAAGCCTAAATCTAAATCCTAAACCCTAAAACCCTAAATCCGGACAGTCTGAATCCTAAGCCCCCAAACCTCAAAGACACACCCTAAACCCTAAACCCCAAAATTCTGAAAATCTAAAACCTGAAACCCCCTTCCCCGCCCCCCCCCCGTAGGAGTCCCGGGGCTGCAATCCAACACCAGCGGCTTTGTCCTGGACCACACTGCTTCCACGCGGAAACTACCAGGGTTGAAGGGTTCGGTTGGGCTTTGGGTTTAAAGTTCAGGGTTTGCGGTTTAGGGTTTAGGGTTCAGGGTTAGGACTTAGGATTTAGGGTTTGGGGCTTAGGGTTTAGGGTTTGGGGTCTGTGGTTTAGGGTTTAGGGTTAGGGTTTAAGGTTTGGGCTTAGGGTTCAGGATTTAGGATTGAAGGTTTAGGGTTAGGGTTTAGGGTTTGGGTATAGGGTTTAGGGTTTGGGGGTGCATCTCTGCGGGCTCCGCTTGCACTCAAAACGTCTTGTTGCGGGGGCAGGGCTTCCGAGTTTAGAGCTCAGAGCCCGAAAGTCCAAGGATTTAAAGCAAAGCGTTGGCTCAAGAAAAAATGAAAGTGCCTGGAGCCACCCAAGCATTCGAAATGGAAGGGAATGTAAACCCAAAAGCAGCTACTACTATAGGGGCCTAAATAATTGCTTATGCGGTTGTGTTTTTTTTTTGGGGGGGGGTCCTTATTATAAGTATAGTACAACGGGCCCCAAAGCCCCATTCTAATTATCAAGGCCCCGTACGAATCACAACACAAGCCTGTTCTAGGCTATGTCGAGCACTGGATCTTACAAGACAGGCCTGCGAAGAGATTATGATTAGGGTTTTTAGGGTCTCTCGGGTAATGTATACAGCTATAACAAGGGGGCCTAAGGACTGGCGTGACGCAGAACAACCCTCAAATCCTAAACCCAAAAGCATCAGTACTCGAAGCCCTAGATACAAATCATGGGCCAAATCTAAGACCCAACAGTCTTTGGGTTGACCCTAAACCCTGAACACCTAATGTAGGAACCAGATTAAGAAAGGCCTATAACCCCAAAGTACTAGGATTCATACAAGGAACCCTAATGGCCCAAGGTTTCTTCATCAGGTTCCTCACGACCCTAAACAAACCCCGAAACCCCAAGCCCTGAACTTCAAGCCAAGGCCCCTAAAACCCTAAACCCCTGAAACCCTAAAGCCCCAAAGCCATAAACCCTGACCCCTAAATCCCTAAACACCAAAACCCCAAAACCGCGAACTCCAAAGCCAAGGCACTGGTACTGAGAGGATGGGCAGGGCTCCGCGACCACTTCGACGACTAGGAGGGCCTCGGGAGATTCTTGCGATCTGGCATGTAACAGATGGGATGGGATAGTTAGGGTTTAAGGTTTAGGGGTTTAGGGTTTAGGGGTTTTTCAGGGTTTGGGGTTTGGGGTTTAGAGAAATTCCGGGGCTTAGGGCTTCGGAGTTTTTTAGGACTTAGGGATTGGGATCTGCAGGGCCCAGGGCTCAAGATTATGGCTTAGAAGCGCCAAACGGCATGTTTTTTCGGCCTGTCGTGGGGCTTTGTGGAAGAGGAGATTGCTACATTCCTGGATCGATGAGTGGGACACGACTCGAGAGCAGTGATTGATTGCAAATGCGGTCTGGCCCCTAAACTTGCAGCAAGATCATCAAGAAGCTGACGGAAGAAACGCCTGTGAAACCTCAACGCATACACACACGAGTTGCGTGCAGCGGCCTTGATAGTTAGTGCATACTCTTCCTCATTAACCCTAGGCAAATTACTCCGAACCTTAAACCCTGAACCCTAAACCCCTAAACCCTAACCATGCACCCCAAACCTTGAACAAATCCACGCCTGGGCTTGAAAGCACCCCATGGACCCAGCGCTTCACCCGAAATCCGTAGAACAAGAAAATCAAGAAGCAGACTGGTGCTTTCTAAATATGTACTGTGGCATAGCTACACCCAAACTCCTTAGAACAAAAAAACCAACAAGTAGAAACCCTAAACCCTAAACCCTAACAATTATAGTGTGACTCAACCCTCTGATATCTCCAAACCAAACGAGCCACCACGCCTCACAACCCTGAACCATAAATCCAAAACCGCAAGCCCTCAAATCCAAAAGCCTCCAAACCCTAAACCCTAAACCCCTAAACCCTAAACCCCTAAACCCTAAACCCCTAAACCCCTAAACCCCTAAACCCTAAACCCCTAAAAACCCTAAACCCCTAAACCCCCAAACCCCCCCTATAAGGGTCCTTATGAGAAGCTGCAACTCTAAAACTCCCCCGAGCCCGCGACCAGAAAAATGCACGGGAAAAGAAGCGAGCAAGGCGTCATGTCGACATGGGTACTACGCTTTATGGCTTACAGGGAACTCCAGAAAGTTGGAATATGGTTTCAGGGTAGGATACCTTATAACTTACCATAAAGGGCTTAGGATAATTATATTCCAACTTTCTGGCTTTTACTTTAGGGCTACCGCTCCATAAAGCTTCGAGTTTTGGGGCTTCAGCTTCGGGGTGAAGGGCTTCGGGTTTAAGCTAGGGGATCACAGTCAGCAGGATCTAGGGTAATGCGTTTGAGGTTTAGGGTAAAGGGTATTTATACATATAAGGTTCAGGCTCAGGATTCTAACATAGAGCTTGAAAGGGGTTGTCCCTTAAGATAGGGGCGTCCACAATTAGAATGGGATTTCTTCTGAGGGGGACTACACAGCCGACCTTGTCATTCTGTAAGGGGGTCTAGAGCGTCCGAAAGTGGCTGCGGATACGGCACACTCTCGCAGGTGGCCACAAATGCCTCCGAATATCGAAATCTTGGCCTGAGTTCTAAATACCTGCCAATGCAGCAGCCTTCTAAACCCATTCTTGAACCAAACCCGAACCCCCGAACCCCCAAACCCCAATCCCAACCCTAACAAACCCCTCTAGAACCTTTGTAGCACCCTTACAAAACACAATTACAGAGCCCTTCTCGAGCCTTCTTGAAGGGCCCTTTTTGAGGGAGAGTTCAGGGCTCATGCTTTTGGGTTTGGGGTTCAGAACGTATGTTTTGGGGCTTAGAGTTGAGGGTGTAGGATTTCGGCTTCGCTGGGGCCCAGCACTTGCTCACAATGAAACAAGCTGGGATTTGAGACATTGGCCGGGTCCCTACCCACTGTCTTCATGTCGGGGCCTTGACAATTAGAATAGGTTTTTTGGGGGGTGAACCTCCAAACCCTGTAACCCGAAAGCCGGTTACATGTTAAAATTCTCGCGGCATCTTGCACACCCGACGAAAACCGACCCATATCCGATAAAACCGCACTTAGAATAAAATCCAAAGGAGCACGCGACCCAGCAAGAAGGAGAAGCCGGAAGACATGAAGGGGAACCCCAGCCTCAAGATTCAGATCCCTGGACTTTTGGACTTTCTTTAGGCTTCATAGGAGCTTGTAGCCCAGTGTAGAGTTTTAATGGCACCCTATGGTATGAGGCGCTTTTTCGGGTTTTGCAGAGCCTTCCAAACCCTAAGGCCCAAACGCTAAACCCTAAAGGGTTTAGTTTGGGTCAGCCCCCTTCCTGCCTATGGAATCCATGAAAGCACGACCCTAAGAACAACGAAAACCATATGTTTAGCGCCCCAAACATTCACCTACAGGGTTCAAGAGTCTAGGGCTTACTGCTTCGATGTTTGGGGTTCTTTGGCGTCAAAGGTGTGGGATTTGTGGTCTGCGGTCATTCTGGAAATGTACCATACTGGGGTTGAGATGGCCCACCAAAACTCAACAAAGAAAGCATAAACCCTACTGTGGGTTAGGGGCCTTACCCTAAACCGCACACCGAAAACCTTAAACCGTAAACCTAAATCCTAAACCCTAAATGCTACACCCTACTATAGGGGCCTTCATAATTAGAATAGGGTTTTGGGGCCCAGTGGCCCAGTATACTATAATTATAATAATGAGCCCCCAAAATAGTATAGGTAATTGTTGAAGCTTCTATAAATTAAACCCCCCAAAACCCTAAACCCCTAAACCCTAAACCCCTAAACCCTAAACCCCTAAACCCCTAAACCCTAAACCCCTAACCCCTAACCCCTAAACCCTAAACCCCTAAACCCCTAAACCCTAAACCCCTAACGCCTAAACCCCCCCAAAAAAAGCGCCTGTCCTCAGCTCCGCAAGCCTCGTCCCAGAAGCCGCTGAAAATCCAAGTTGCGAGGCCTCCCGCGCAGCTTACTACCCAGACCGCCGGGGGGATCATGGGACTTAGTAGGGTTCTTAAAGGGCTCCTTTAAGGGATCCTTTAGGGTTTAGTGTTGAGGGCTTAAGATCTAGAAAGTAGATCCCCTAATTTGGGGCCCTATACTACTAAGGGTACTTTTAGGAACCCCCACTAAGAAATCTACTTTTTGGATCCTCCCGGGGGTCTGGGTATAGGAGCCTTAAGAATCAGAATAGGTAGGGGCGACTATAAGGGACACTATAAGTCGCAATAAGGGTACTATAATGTAGGGGGTCCTAAAAATTAGAAAAGGGTTTTGGGGCCTATTATACTATAATTATAACAAGGAACCCCACAATCACAACAGTAAAGGTTATGATTTAGGCCCCTACATTGCCCTTCTGCTTCTGCTGGGTTTATCGGAGTTTAGAAGCTTTAGTGGGCTTTTGGGGTTCAGGGGTGTTCGAGGGGTTTGTTGTACGAGGGGATTTTATGCGATGACATGTCAGGGTCAAGGGCCTGAAAAGTATAAACAGATATATCAGGGAACGCTAGGTATTACTTATCAGGCAAGCCCCAATGTTACAACTAGACGGGGGCTCTGTGGGTAAGGGGGCTTCACACTGTCAATAGTGAGCAAAAAGACACTGCTGACCTTGATTATTACAACAGGGTTTTAGGGATACCTTCTGGCACAAATAGAATTACCCCTGCCCCCCCCTTTTGGGTGTCGGGAATGGATGCACCTTGACACGGCATTGCCATCGTCGGTGGCTGCCTGGATCACTGACTGGGAGACGTACTTGCATTTTCTAGGGGTGATGGCTTTGGGTATTGGAGTTCGGTGGGCTTGGGACCAGGGGGTTTAGGGTTTAGGGTCTAGGGTTTAGGGTTTAGGGTGTTGGACCCTTGGCAATACTATTACGACATACTGCTCATGCTTTCAAGCCTGTCAACACGAAGCTCCATAGCTGTGCCCTTCGGTGCTTCGGCAAATAAGGTGCCGTGATTCTTCAAGATCTTGTTTCCAAGCGTGCAGAATATGGGAGTTTCCGAAAATGGGGGACCCTGTTATACTACCCCAAATGGTAGAATCCTGATTATTAGGACCCCCAAATAAGGTCCCCCTAACTGTCGGAAACTCCCATATGCTCGTCTCTCTCCATATAAGCCTGGGGCTGCAGGATGTATTTGGGAGTTTCCGAAAATTAGGGGTACCTCATTTTGGGGGGTCCTTCTAGTAAGAATCTACTATATAGGGTACTATATTAGGCGACCCTCTTTTCGGAAACTCCCATTTAGGAGAGAACAGGTGAAAGAGCCTCGAATCCTCGGATAAGGGTTCAGAGGCTTGAAGGTGAAGTAATCACTAGAATCCGCTTTCGGGGTATAGTGTGGTGTAGTATATAGTACATGGTACTCAGTGTATAAAGATACGTAGAATCTATAGTATATAGTAAATAAATAGTATATAGTATAGTATGGTGGTAGCCAAGAACCCATTAATGGTACTTGTTGAGGCTTCTATATCAGGATGCCGAGTTCGGCAGAGGTCGATAACGACTTACAAGCCATAGTCGCAGTAAAGCCACGATCCAACCCTGGTTATTCAAGTGTTCCCGCTTGGCAACCCGCCCGCACAGACTAAGAACACAACGATGCTTGATGAGTGTTTGAGGAAACACTATCAAATTCTTCCATACCCTTGGAAAACCCGAAAAACACCCATCAAAAAGAAATCCTGCAACATCGTTTTCGAATCCTCTAAAGTCCGATTCTTTACATCAAGGTGCCCTAAACCCGAAACCCTAAACTGAAACCCGAAACCCTGAACCCTATGGTGCCCTAAACCCGAAACCCTGAACTCGAAACCCTAAGGTGCCCTAAACCCTAAAACCGTCAACCCTAAACTCTAAACCCTAAGGTGCCGAAAAAACCCGAAACCTTGAAACCTTTAAGCTGGCTTTAACACCGCGCGCACCTGGCTCGTCCCGGCTCCTCTGGCAGGGGCCCCCGAAGATGTGCAGCGCGCCTCAGCGAGGGGCTTCTTTGGGATTCAGGGGCTTGGGGTTTAGGGTTTAGGGTTTTAGGGTTTAGGGTTTAGGGCTTAGGGTTTAAGGGGCTTGGGGTTTAAGGGCCTTGATTGCGGCCCATGAAGATAGGACTACTGCTGATGATATAAATCCTGCATTACCCAAAATAAGGAGTATACCATTATTCCCATCGTTTGGGGTGCTCAAGGTAATGCAGATTTATACCATTAACCGTAGTATATACTCCTATGCTTCGGTTTCAAACTCACTTTAAGGCTTTGGGCAAAGCACTCATGGCTTGCGGGCTTTGATGTGGAAGGCTATTGGCTTTGGAATTTGGTCTGCGCATCCGGGTTCAGGGTTTAGGGTTTAGGGCTTAGGGTTTAAGGTTTAGGGTTTATAGGGCTCAGGGTTTAGGGTTTAGGGCTTTGGGTTTAAGGTTTAGGGTTTATAGGGCTCAGGGTTTAGGGTTTAGGGCTTAGGGTTTAAGGTTTAGGGTTTACAGGGCTCAGGGTTTAGGGGTTAGGGCTTAAGGTTTACGGTTTCCGCCTGGCTCGGTTAGAGACTCTACATCGATGTCTCTGGCAAGCTCGAAAGCTTCATCGCGGAGTCCTTCGAACACATTGTGGACCATCGCTGTCCTCGTCTTGATGGCGTAGGACGTCATCTCGTCCATAGGTGGCAACGGGGACACAGAAACCGAGTCTTCCGACTTTGACGTGCTGGGCCGTGGTCTCCGCTGGCGGCCGGAGCGTCGGCTGCCTCCATATCGGACCTGTTCTCAGAGGGTGCAGGTGCTGCGGTTGCGACCGGCGTGGAACTTGCATCGGGCATGCGACTGTCGTCGCTATCTTCCGGGTAGGGTTTAGGGCTTAGGGTTCAAGGTTTAGGATTTAGGGCTTAGGGTGCTTAGAGTTTAGGGTTCAGCCCTCCAAACACTAACATCCAGCAGCCCCAACTGGACTTTGAAGTAACAGGGAGAAAAAGTATAGACTTCTATTTCACAATGGTTCCTGTAAGGAACAGGTATCAAAAAAAAAAATATTCAAGTATGGTACTCCAGACTTTGGCCAAACCCGAGACCTACACCCACCCGCAA